TTTAGGATAGAAGACCATCCTCTCTTTGCAACTATCAACAAGAATGAGGTGGAAGAAATAAATAAATGGCTTTCAATGACACAAATTACAACAGATAATGATGAGTTGTATGATAATGCGTTTTTTACCATATATATATAAACTTCCGAACACTAGAGAACGGTTCTATAGAACCGTCTCACAGAATTTTATGAGATCGGCGAACCGGTTAGCATTACTGGTTACTGTCAATGACTTTTTGTAACAGAACCGGGCGAAAAATATGATTTTCATGATGGAATCGGCTGACAAAAAAAATTGAATCCCACCACTGCATATAACGTAGGTGGTCTGACAATAACCTATACGAGACAGCATAATTATCATCATTCAGTGAAAATTATATTGTCTACAGTGGTCAGTCGGCTATCCTGACCAGCTATTTTTAAAATTTGCGAAGCTACGCAAATCGCCCTTGTGATTTTTCCACAACGTGAAAAATTTTAAATTTGGCATGTATAAAATAGAAAGAACGATAACAGCAAATCTTGCTGTAAATTGCTCACGGTACACAAAAACCTGAAGATTTCGATCATTTTAGAGAAATATTTCATGAAAAACAAAATATAGTACGACATACTATTTGAAAGAAGTTACCATAATATTTTTTTGTTTTATCAGACCTTTCAACTCATGGTCAACATTGGAGATCATGCTCAAAAGACTAAATCCCGACTACGGCATTGGACGCAAGTTTGGTTACTATTCGACCCATACCGTATGCCTTCCAACGTTGTTTCCAAAACGCTCAGTTGATATATCTTGGGTATATTCAACGGTCTTCATAGTCATTAACTTTTCTTCCTTTTTCCTGATTCTCTTGGGATATATAATGATCTATTTGTAAGTTGTTTTTTTTTTTCAATAAATTACAAGATATTTTCAAACTATAGCATAATTTTCAAATTTTGCTATAGGAACTCCACTAAAATGTCGGCAGCAGTTAGCAAACAGATGGCACAAAAGAGATCAGAGAAAATGCAGAGAGAAATTACCCTTATTATTACAACGGATTTCTTGTGTTGGGTACCATTATCTATCATGGGATTTCTTCAACTATCGGGTATTGAAACTATTTATATTTTGAAGTAGTTTGTAAAATTTTCATGCCTGGGCGCTACTTAAATCATAATATTTTTGAAATGATTTTGAAAATGTATTCATACAAATTTTATACAACTAATTATCATTACCACGGTCATTTTTTCGTTTATTGCAGGTATCGATATGCCAAGTGATGCATACCTACCTGTGGGTCTGCTAGTGATACCCATAAACAGCTTGATGAACCCTATACTGTTCACTGCCTCACCAAAAATTCGAAAAGGATTCTCATTTTGTCGCTGTGAAAACAAACAGTCGATGTGTACGTGCTCGGAAACACAGATAACGAAAGATAATTGTAGTTATATATATATCATAGATATTGATTGAAACATTTTGGTTTGCGCTACGCGCTACGCGATTTAAACGAACGTGGCTCTGCACCATTGTAGCGACGGGGTTTCTTGTCTCTACGTTCAGCGAACCGGCTATACAGGCTTGCGATCTGTAGACTTAGGTTAGCTCTGACCACGGTCGGCGTTTTATAGTTTCGGCAGATATTCATCAAGTGTCAAAGAATAACTCGATATTTTGCTTAATTTTGGTTTTCAAATTTTCATTAATACCTCATGAGGTCACCGTCTGACTTTTCAAGTAGATGTCTATAACAAGGCCAATGAAAAATATTACCAATTGTTGTTTTTGCCGTCGACCAACTTGTTTTCACCCAAAGGGACAAATGCATGAATTCAATGTTACTTATTTGCAAGCATATTTTAGACATAGGTTTCTGTTTCGCCCATTCCATACTAATTTATGTCAGCCCCACCCCATGTAATGGGACGTTTCCCAAGAATCCAATTCACGTGAACAAGCTTGGAGACTTTTATAAAAAAAAACTGTTTCGTGGACAACCCTGTCAGTATCCAACCCCAAAATAAGCAACCTATTTTCAATATACTAGTAAAAACATTTAATAGGTAAAAAAAAACTATAAATACCAAAGTTAGTTACGACTTAGTCGAGTTCATATGACATGGTTATTGGTTACTGTCCAACAGGAAATACAAATGGTTTCTGTCCCATTCCATGGAACGTTTCCCATCCCCAGTGCCAAGCCTGCTTATCCCAATGTCTACATTCAATGATATAGCTTTTAAAACAGTGATGCGGTAACCATACCGGTATACCTCCGCTCCGCTGAGTCTCGATTATTCTACCATAATATATATATATATATACATACTAACAATGTTTTGTTTGCTTTAATACAGAAGTAAGACATGACAAGAGTTGATTGGTTTTAGAAGAAAGAATATCCAGGATTCATAAAAAAAAAAACATAAAATCAAATCGTACAGACTCTACTTCTGTACTTCAGGACATCTTAAATAAGCACAACAGAACTTCCACATATTTGAGATTGGATTCTTCAGTTTTGTACAAAAGAAATCGTACAGAAATTTTTATTGACGCATTGAGAATGATATGTTGTTTTACATTGGTATACGTTATTACAATTCACTAAATATAGCTTAACTTTGTAACTTTTTTAGTAACGGAGTTGAAAAAATTTGTTTTGTTGTAGACTATACAGTAGTTTTTGCATGCAATAAAAATAAATGCTATATCTTGTAAATGGGATGAGTTTGGGAAAGGTTCAGCTACAATCGGATATTTATTTACAGACGCTTCATAGAGCAAAAAAATTCCATACCAGTGGTTCCAAATCTATGAGTGATGTCCGCAAAAATATTGAAATTAAATTCAATCAAGTTTTGTTTGTAAAGTTCCGCGCTATCGAAGTCAATTTATGCGGCACACCGTCTATATTTGTGGTAGTAACTCGAGTAGTAACACAGTGTTTCGATTGAAACGCGAATTTTTGAAAGAGTGGAGAGCTGAAAATTAAACTTCCAGAGTCTAGGAAATTCCCATGCGTAGTTACTCGATCAGTAACACAGTGTTACGATCGAAACACGAATTTTTGAAGAGTGGAGAGTTCAAAATTAAACTTCCAGAGCCTGGGAAATTCTCATGCAACAGCCTTTAAAACGGTCGCCGCGATTACTCCGTCCCGTGGTTCTCAAACTGGGCGTCGTTTCAATATTGATAGGGCGTCGCAAAATTTTTCTTATTTTGCGAATTTGTACCTGCCGTGCGTAGAAGAAGTCAAAATTTTCGTTATTCTCGTTTAAATCACACTTGAGAACTGGAAATGACAATATATTAATTATTGTAAGGATCGATCTTATCTATATATGACTTGACAAACATCACGGATCATTCAATACTGTTCCAATTATGACATCACACAGGCTGGATCAGAACGAGTCATGCATGGTGTTCATTTCTAATTCTTTCATGAACATGGGAACATCAAGCGTTGTTCAGCACTTCGTCTGCACGTTAACCTAAACAGATATTCAATATTGAAAAAACAGCAGTTCTCTTCAGGCATAATTCAAATAAAACTCATTGTAAAAGGGGTCTCTTATTGAAAGGTATTCAGACATTTTTCACGGGGAGTCGCAGCTTGGCCCTATTTTTTGGAGGACGTCGCACTCCAAGAAGGATAAGGATGAGATTTACATATTTATCCCGGGGGAGAGGAAAGCCGATTTGATGGCTTAACCATATGGCGAACCACGGCCTCTCGTCCGGTTACCATTCCATGTCGGGTATGGGATTAGTTAGGTATTTGTTTTTCCGCAGCATGGAATTGATGGTGGAGGAAGCCGTAACCGACCAGCGGTTACGTGAACCACCCAACGGCGGCGAGGAGTCCAGCAATCCTCTCGCACATAACCACCCCGCATGGAATTCGAACCCACGCAGCGTAATTAGAGGTGCGGTGGCGAGCGTATTCCTAACGCTTAGCACGATGAGCCACACCGCCGCGCCAAGAAGTTTGAGAACCACTGATTAGCCCCTCACAATAGCCGACTTTTCCGATGATAATAATTTTCTGTTGCGTGAAATATTCAATTTTTGGATGATGTTATGCTTATTTCAACTGAATTTACGGTTACTCGCAGTTGCGTCGCGAAGGCGAATATGTCAAATCTTTAAGCTATTTCTGAACATTGACTTCGCCCTATTCAATTCTCATTACTTTATTGCAGCGCACCTTAATCATTTACGATATATATATCACCATTAGAAAAAACAAGTTCTGTAATCAGATAGGGATCGGCTATCGCCGAGGGGATTCCAAATCGAAACTTATGGCGTGTTACCTTTCATTGTTAGGGTCAGTTCCCTTACGTCACGTACTCCCAGTATTTCTCAGGATTGCGACTTCCCTTCTCCTCTGATTATCTTTAGCGTAATTTAGCTTACCGGCATCATTTACCCTGAATAAATTTATCTTAATAATCACGCTGGTATATTTTCTTGCGATAATACTTACGAATAGCCTTGGGGTGAGGATGGAAGTTCATACATTTTCAAGCTCGATCAACTTCCAAACTCCTTTCAGCATCATCAACGTACTGATAGTTTACAGTTCCAGTAGATATCTTAAACATATGAATAGTCCCAGGAACTATTGTCGCAATTATAGACAGACGCTGATCGTAGTGAAGACAAGCACAGGGCGCGCACATAGGCTAACTCACTGTAATATTGCCCAGCAAATCAGTTTGCTTCATTCGCCGCGCCCAGGAAGATTCAGACAGTGTCCCACACGGTAATTATCAGATTACCTGCTAACTAAACTGACATCTTTCAGAAATAATAATCCTTTAGTATCAGCATTTAATATGACTAATTTTTTTTTTAAATATTTGAAAATCTCAACAATTTAATACAGAATAGACGAAACCCTAAATCTTTCCATGGGCATTATCGAATTCTACTGTGTGGAATTTTATTAATTTCTGTGAATTTTACCATTTTCTCCTGGCAGTGTCAATGCAGAAATATGCTGTTGTTATAGCGGTCAGTATAAGCGCCTAAGGTTGCGGTTGTTGACTGAAGTGAGCTGTTTTCGTCGTTCTTGCCTGAATTTGAAAGCAGGCTAACCCATCGGTACTGCGATACCATTATTGAGTTACATAGCCTAGTTCAGTGATTCTTTGTCGGAATCTTGGTGTGTCGTATTGTCGAGTTTTTGTGCCTCCGAAGCACAGAAGCACGTGTCGTCCTAAGGAGATCCAGCATCTGAATATGGGGAGGTGAGGGTGGAAGCAAATTGTTGAAAGTTGTCCGGTTTCTGATCTCTTGAATGTATACCGGGATCAGAACTATAAACATGAAAAAGATGAAAGGTATAATGACCCTCATCTCCCTGGCACTGGCTGTGAGATTGTTTTTGGGTAAGTCTGTAAGAACGGTACCGGTACCTTAGTCTGGTACTAGTAGTGTGTGTAACGTTAAATTGTAAAATTCAATACAGCAGAACTGGTATCCCAGTCACACTGAATATGAGGCATGTAGTCATGCCGTACCAGTACGGCTGCACAAAGTACACACATGTAGGGTGGTGCAGCCAGTCTGCGGACGATTTCATTCAAACCGCTATAAAACAAAAACCAATATTTCTAACCCGATAATCTTTCCACCGTAGGTAAATGGCTTTTATTCTACGCGTTATACCTAGAATTAACTACGACCAGGTGTTAAAGCTATACAAAACCACCAAAGTACGACACTCGGAAGATGTATTTGCGAGCGAGCGACCAGTGTGCGTCCACGGCTTTCAAGCCTTGACATCGTTTCTGCTGCGTCGAGACTAGAGGAGGGATACGCAGCCATGCATGAAAAAATTGGGCTTCTAATTGCTTTTCTGGCCGTCATATATTTTAAGAACACAGTCATTTCAAACAAAACTCGTCAAATTATAAACAAAGCACCGCATCACAGCAGTCAAACAGCCAAAAACACGGTGGTCGCAAATTGGTTGACAAAGATATTATTGACGTATTGGAAATAATCGCCCCCCTATTCCCCCTCCTTTAAATGTAAAAACAGGAAAATTTAAAGATGGGTAAAAGGAACATAACTCTACCCCCTTGCCAAGTTTCATCTTTTTATCTCTTATATTTGTATGGATTTTAAAGTTTTTTTAATGGGACAATGGGTAGTTGGCTAATAGATAAAGTAGATATCAGGATATAACTAGCATTATAGACTATTGACTACTGTATCAGTGTATTGTTAAGTTGGTAGTGTCAGATTTGTCCCCAATGCTACTCTTTTATTTATTCCAGGATTTCTGATCAGTAGAACAACGCTTGCTCATGTATCAGATGATGAAAATAATTTCCGATCATTGTTTGAACATCGGATGGAAATGATATCATTGCCAGAACAACGAAGCATTGAGTATTGCAACAAACCTGGTCAGAAAATTGAAGGAATGGAGGGTATAGTAAATTATGACCTACTTGCATATATACTTACGGTATATATACTCACGTATAAGTCACATTTTTTTCAAACAAAACAGTGAGGAATCTTTCAAATCGTTCATATACAGATATATGAACAAATATTCAAGTTTAATTCTGGCCGCTTTTACAATCTCTATAACAATGGAGAGTAGTATCAATTAGTTATCACTAAGCTATGCGACTAAACAACTAGGATAATTTACTATTGTTTGCATGTAGGAAAATATCCTGACTCGTCTATGAAGTTGCTTGGGACAGTACTACTCATTCGACATGGAGATCGGCTACCAATCTCCCGTCCCCCTGCATTCGATGGTCATCCTCCGCCTGGACGAAAACCATGTTCCCTCGATCCATCTATTTCTCCTACTAATCGGATGTTAGGTCATTTTATAAATACTGTAAGTGTTACATTATTGTTGTTTGTTTGTTTAATTACAAGTGTATGCTAAGTTACCAATTCAGAAATGCAGACAGAGTTCAGGAGTTGTGTGCTAGATGGCTTAGAACAGGAGGGGGGGGGCACGAGGCACGCATGCCAAATTTGGCACGCCATACGCTCAAACGTTGCACGCGAACGGTTTTGTAAAAAAAATTTATGATATATATATACATTGAAATATCACGTTCATATCAAAATCAGCAGTTTTTTTTCAGGACATTAAATTGTTCCAATAAATAGATACCCGTTATTATGTATTGTTATTGCAATTTGTTTGTTTAACGGAAGTTCATTTACAATACCACAATTGTGCGTGGCACGCGACAAGATTATTTTGAAAAATTGGCACGTATCCTCATTTGAGTCGTGCATCCCTAGCTTAGAAGATATGGCTTTAGTCTTTGCTGTAGTGTTGGCATCGTAGGTGATACATCTCAATGTCGTTTTAAATGCCGTGCCTACGACCTCACCCAGGTAGTTTTAAAATAAATTGGTTTGGCTGTGTCTAACTGGGACGATTCCAGTTATTCCAAAGATGATAGCTCCTTACCTTGTTGTGGCTGTTGTACAGGGCCTTGATCGATCAGAGTGAAAGGCACTGGTAGTGGTGAGAGTCGTGTATATAAAGAAAGAGGTATAAAAACGAGTAATTAGGATAAGAATCTTGAATGCTTCTTCAATGACAGAACCATGTATTGAATACATAGCAGCTATGACATGACTGTTTGCTAGCAGTATGTTTTGAAATATTTCATAGCATGTGTCATAATAATTGTTTGTATGAAGTATGAAATGTTTGTATTTGATTCACTGGCTTTATTCAGCTTGTTTTATTGTTACTTGGCATTATTTGGTACTTCAGTCATACCAGTGCTTTTGTATACATGTTACAGTTTAAGTTTAAATCTGTCATTATTTTTAACTTAGCTAATTGCAACTAAGTTTTTAAAAAATTTTATATATCTTTTTTATTAATTTCAATTTAAAAATTCTTTAACATTGATTTTGACTACATTTAAAAGTCTAAGAAACATAATCATTGCTAATTTACGTGGGATTATAGGGATATCAAATTCAATTTAATGTGTTTATTGATATTTCTAATGCAGGTTAAAGGACAAACAGCATTATTAAAAAAATCAATGAATCCATATCTACAAAATTTTGATCTCTTGCCCGATACTTGTTCGGATGTATCTATAACTCAATCAGGAATTACACAAATGCTGGAGTTGGGTGATTTTCTCAGGCAGAGATATGTGACGGATATTTCAAGTATGGGTTTTGTTTTTGTTGCCGTAAAAGAGCTAATGGCAACTATAATTTTGTAAATGACCTTATTGAACGCAAAGTTTGTCTATGGATTGTTTTAAAATTTTTTATTGTGGTTCATGTTGTAGTTTCTTGTACAAAACTTCGACACCAGAATGAACAAACGCTTTCAAATGTCCACCAATAGTTTAAGATTCAATTTTTTTTCTCCTATTAATCTTTTAGAGTCTTTTGCTTCACTCCAATTTATCTTTTATAATAGTTCTTAGTCGTTCATTTTCAGCTAGCAAATGTTTACAAACTTCGAGTCAGAATATTGTATCTAACTTTATGGTGTCACGAGTAAAAAATCCTTCAAGCCCACCCCCTAGTCGGGGTAGGCCATGCAAAACTGTATTGCTTCTGACTCTTTTAAAAATAGTAATTCTATCCTTGTACCAGTGACTGTTTGTACATATCCTTGTTGGGTTGGGAAGGTGTGAAAACGCATCTTTGTAAATTTTTATGCTCGTTTCATTTGAAAAATTACATTATCTAAATGCGGTGCATTATTAATGTATTCTTGAATCGAAAAAACTCATATTTATGGACTGCCATGCTTGAATAGTAGATAATTGTAAAATTCTACCATGCAACGAAATTTTCCTCAAACAAGAAACAACCCAATTCATGGTTATTGTTATACTTTTTCAGATGTTCATCAGGATGTTGTTATTTCCACCTCTCGATTTGCGAGGACATTTCAGAGTTTGCTATCTTTTCTGTATGGATTTTTACCTGAGAGATTCAATGAATTTGTAATGGGGAAGATCAGTACATCGAGCTCTATATATTTTTGCGACAGTGACTTGTCATCAACTCCATCTTTTATGACACACTGTAATTGTGCTAAAGCAAAAACCATTGCACAATTACGAGCTTCTTTCAGATACTGGGATCCACACAATCCCCACATATCTCATCTACATGACTTATTGAAAATTGACGAAAGAAATTCTCTGAAAAAGCGTTCTTTCGAGAGTGAGAAAAAAATTGGTCCAACACCACTGTCTGTTGCTTCACCAAGCAGGATTTGGGATTGGCTAGTCTCAGAATATTATTGCCATGGGCGGCCACTTCCTTGCTTACCTAATGAATCCATACCATCACAAACCAACTGCCTTAATTCAACTACTATAAAAGAATTAATCCACCTTGTTGATAAGAATCATCTCCGTATGATCAACGATTTTCAATATATAAAGGTAAACTGGAAAAAAATTTCAAGTCAAATTGTAGTTTGTATTGTGTGTCGTCAGGTGTATTGGTTACTTTTCGGTTAGAGCCCCTATCTCAAGATATGATTTGGTGGTCTGTAAATTGATTAGAAGATGCTCATTGCTCACCATGGTATTGGAGAAGCAAATTTGGGTTGAGTAAATGTGAGGAATTTCAGTCCATTTACACAACTTGTTGTAAGATAGACAAACAAAATTAGTTACCTCCGTACTGGTACACACATTTCTGGAGCACCAACTCTAATTGGTAAAAAGAGTAGATATTGTGTTCTGCTGATATAATGCAACATACTGACCTCAATACACTTTCTTCCTGGGAAGGAGGTACTAAAAAGTACTGAATTCTGCTTTAATTTCTTTCTCTAGAATCTATAAAAATAATAAGTACAGTAACCTAATTTTCTTTTTTTCAGGCCACAAGTCTTGCCATGTACCCGTTCTTAAGTTCAATCAACAAAAAATTTCACGATTTAGTGAAGAAATACAACTATCACTGTGCTTCAGAAGATACCTCTGCTACTGATAATAATCCGTTTGTTTGGATTCTTTCTGGCCATGACATAACCATTGGTCCATTGTTTGTTGCTTTGGATATACCATTATTGAAGAAAGCACCTTATGCTTCAAGAGTTGCTTTCGAGCTTTGGGTAAGTTGTGACAAGTCTGATAACAATTGCTGTTATTCGCATGAAATCAAGCCATATGTTCGAATATTACTTAACGGTAAAGATGTCACTGATAACATAGGTCACTGTGGAGCAAAAACTAACTGGGAATTTCCCGATACACAAAGGACAAAACAGAATAGACCATGTCCCCTTTCATATTTTAATGAATTCATCAACTATAATTTCCTAAAAAGATTTAACAGCACAAATTATGAAGATGCTTGTCAAAGTTGATATTGTAGTTTGGAACTATAGATTTCAATGAAATTTTTTGATTCACTGTATCCCTTTTTACTCGTATGTTTTAGTCATTTAATCATCAACACTTGCCACTTTCAATTGACTTGTTCTGTATCAATATTAGATACAAAATAGTATGTGTTTACATTAGGGATGTCCAAAAATCTGGTTATACGTTGAAGTAATGGCAAAATGAAATGTTTCCCAACACTTTTTCTGTGAATTATTGCATCTGCAGTAGCATTGCGATTCGTAAAAGATTCCGCAAAGTAATAAGTGGCCTATTATCTAGTTTTATTACACATAGTAGGCCAGGTGAAATATATATGGAATCATATCTGCCAAAGTGACATTTCGGAATACTTATGGATTTGGATATAAAAATATAAAATAATATAAATTATTTCCTAAGTTAAAAAGTGACTGATTTATTGTGTATCCTACCAAGAGTGGCTGTTATAGCGTTACTATTATTAAATCAATCAAATGTTTATAAATGAGATTGTTTTACTATGAAATTACCTGAAAAAAGCTGTTTGTTGCTTATTTAGATCAAAGTGCCATAAGTCCTTACTTCGATAGAGAATGAATTATTTATCTTAAATATAGACTATTTCTCATAGTCCATATTCATTTTAAGATTTTAATTTGAATCTCTGTTCATTTCTTTCCCCATATTAATCACTCTCTTCACAGCTGGTCCAATAATTTGAATATTCTAAATGGAAATGAGAACAGCATATATGCGTTTACAGTTCTGAAAATTTTTAATTCGTTTAATGATAATTGGTGCTCGCGCTCGGGTACGAATATACGTTTTATTAATAATGTCAGTCTGTCAACATTGTAGGAAACATTCTATTTAGTAAAAATATTTGACTGTGTACTGAAATAATAGGATAATCAGTCTAGCTAGCCCTAATAAAATTCCTGTAATTTTATTGTGTATAATATCTTATAGGAGTAAAATTATTTTGATATTCATATTATCATCATGGACTGAAATTGTGTAGATGTTTATTTCGTATTTGTAAAGTTCAAATTCAGTGAGATTTATTGATGTTGTCAAAAAATGCCTTTTCTGATGAATAGCCCGAAGATTAATGAAAATCACATTCTTCGGATATTATTAACTATTTTTTCAGTGTTCATTATTGCATAAAAATATTGCCATTTCTTTAATCATCTGTTGCTGAAATAACTCCTAAATTTTGCCACTTTCAATTCTCATCGAATATTGCAATATTTGTCGTTTTGTCCAATTTTTATCATTATGGTATTACTAATATTGTTATAAATTAAGTATAGTATACACATATATTGCGCACTAGATAGTTTCATACATCGTTTGGTTACTTTTTATATTGCACGACACCAGTAGACACCAGTTCTAAATGTAGATGTCACACTCACACAGATCTTTTTTTAGGGATTTTCAGGATATTTTTGTGAAAATTATATTTATTACCTTCATAGCATTAGTTACATTGATGTAACACCACTTTGTACATTTTTGGTTGAATCTGGCGAATAAATTTAGTTTTGTCTCAAACTAAACCAGGAATTCAAAGATGTTTCAGATTTTGACAATATTGAGACTAAAATTGTATGTGGTGTGTAGTGTCTGGATTTGACAGTATTTAAATTAAGTATAGTTATCAATTTTGGAAAGAATTGGTGTTTTTTAAAAGTAGCCTAGTTAACTGCTTGCTTCTTTCTGGAAAATTTGTCACTTTTGTGACAGAATCATGATTGTATTCCTACACTAACCATATTATAGAGATATTCCGATACGGATAGCCATTCAAATATAGCCATCTTTCACTAGTGTGCTTCAGTGGTTTTTCAAATTTTGCTATAAACACCCATAGTTATTCCAGAAAACCGTGTCGACTAAAATATTACCTTTTGTTTTGTTAAATTGTTTTAATGTAATTAGGCAAGAAAAAATATGTATAATGCTGTTTTCACATTATATCAGTGAGTTACCGATCATTATGTGTTTGCGATCCAGTGTTATGCTTTGTTAAGTAGCAAAGTGCAAATAATTATCCAGATTTGCTATGAGCTTCGAAGAATATTTTTATTATTCCAGGGATTTGTTATCAAAGTATGTTTTACATTTATTATTAATTGAATCATCTTTATTAATGGTTGATTCTTAGTTGTTCAATATTACCGGTATACACATACTATTTCTTATATACCGGTAGGTCATTTTCAGCGGTTCCCAACCGAGGGCCTGTGGCTGTGAAGGAGGAACAAAACAAACAATATTACGGTAAATAATGACGAGTTTGACCATTTTTTTTTTCAAATTTGTAAAGCTGAATACACTTTTACCACAAAGTCATTTGACTATTAAAACAAAACCATGATAGTCATTGATAAGCTATATTAATATTTACTACCGACTATGTTTTTACTGTTTATGAATTGTATCATCAATGGATTTTTATAGAGTTTAAATTTAACTAGCCATGACTTCTGGGTTTTCAATTTGTACAAACCAGTTTTCATGTTTGCTTGAGCGAAATTAATGGTGTTAGGGTGTTGAATTGTTAGATGTTCTGATTTATTTCTGTTTCTTTGTTACGCCTGATTTTATTTTCAACATCCATAATATTTTTGCTTCTTCCAACAAGCCAACATAAATCGATAACATTTTCAGTAACATATAAATTAAAATTGCCACTCGGGATTTAATCATTTTCATATTTGCAGCTTTTTATTTTATCAACTTTTACTTGGAAAATCTTGCTGTTTTTTGAATAGCATTTCTAAGTTTTTTGTTTTGATCAACAAGATCTCTTTTTATTCTTAAAATGGTGATTTAAAGCAGGGCTACTCGACAGGCGGACGTCGGGCAGAATCCGGGCATTGCGAGTATTTGATTTGGACCGCACCTAATTCTTCATTTTGGATCATTAGTCCCACTTTTGACGTTTCCTCCTATAAAATGAATTTTATAGTTTTGAATATTTATGTAAAGAACTATAACACTATAATAAACAATCTTGCTTCGCTAATAATCATTAGCTGGCCGAGGAAGTGCGTGTTTGAGGATGCCGAAATATAATTTCTGGAAAGACCTTACCCAAATAATTTTGAAGTTTTGTATGCGGAACTTCGTTAAAAATAGTTGAGTAGCCCTGATTTAAAGAACTAAATTTGATTGTTTTATATGATAAATTATGTGTCAACTTCTTGCCATTCACCCCTAAGTTCATCTTAGATAATGTATTTTAATAAATTGATACACAAATGTATTTTGCTTTTATTAACATACTTTAAGGAATTTTCAGCAAGTTAAATACCTGAATATGTTGTTTTTTTCTGACTGTAGGTTGATACCTAGATGTATTGCATTACAGTTACTACAGTAAATGTAATCAGATTGGTCAGATTTTGTGACTTCAATATAATGAGGAAAATATGTCTTTTTTTTGCTTGCCAGTAGATTGATTCTCAGGATTTCCTTATCAGTGTGGCATTTTGAATTTGTATCTTTTTCTTGTTTTCTAAAAAATACATAATCACAACATGCAAACAATATCACATTTTTAACTTACTGCCTTGATTCTACATAACAATATCAAGTACCGGTACCTAAAGTAACCATCTCAGATCAACATACCGTAAGAGATGAGTAGGCCTATGAGTAAATTTCAGAAAATATTGCTCTTTACTTTTGGACTGTAATGTCTGATAAAATATCTACACAAACCATTTGAATAATGAGACTGATTTCTGGTTGGAAAATATTCTGACTTGCAGACTCCAGCTTGCAAATAATCTCGACTCTAACTAGAGCTGCAACTCCCGAAAATCAAGTTTTAATAACAAAGGTTTTTGGGCAAATGCAATTCTCCTGTTATCATATGTTGGATAAGTCAATTCCATTTCCACCCATTTTAAATTTGTGCCTTGAAATCGATTACCACTATTAAAAGTCTGGAATCCTGACTCTGAGAGAATTCCGAATTTTAGCATGTACTAGGAAGAAATTAGTGATGGCCAGTGAATTCTTCCAGAAATTTCGTTTTATTCTGGTATTGTAATTATATAATGATTAAATATTAGTGTGATTTTATGCAGAGATTATGGTTGTTTGAATGCGGATCATGTTTTATTATTTTATTTTCGATGTTTATTCAGTTTGATTTGCTGTGTATCTTCCAATTGTATCTATTGTTGAGTTGAAATAAAATGAGAAGAAGAAAAACAAACTATAGTTGGCTTCGTTTTGAAGTCTCAGACGAGACGTCACGCATGCTTAAGAAGAGCCTTTTTATTCGTTCTTTTTTTTCACACCGGTGACTTCCTAACGCACAATAGTAACGTTTAGATAGATAGATAGTTTATTTCGAAAACTCCATAACAAACATAAATTAAAAATGGAGAATTGTGGCGGGCAATAAAAACCTATAAAAAAGTTTAAAACATGAGAGGTATCTAATGTGCCTGCCCACCAACACGCACACAAAAACACCAAGCCCAATTAAATGAGGCTTGGGCCAAACTTGACAAACAAAATACACGATGGCATTAAACTTTCGGGCTGTTGTACTTTCAGCAATTACGTTGATAATGACCAATACCTACAATCTCATGCAAGAATAATGTGGGGAGTGGAATGTAATAAATTTGAATTCGACGATAGTCATACTAATGAAGACATGAAAGCTTCAAGATAAGCCAAACCACGAAAAACTGGTTCCATTACATTTGAACCCACGTACATTTGAACCCATGACAATTGCACCCGTATGGTGGCCCATTGTTGTCACGCGTAAAATTAAAAAAAAAAAATGAAAAAGCGAAAATAAAAAAATAGTTGTGAAAAAGATTAAAAATAATTGAAAAAAAAAATTAAAATTAAAAAAAAAATTAAAAATAAAAACGAAAAAAAAAGAATTAAAAAAAAAAAAAATTGGATAAAAAGAAAATAAAAAGGTTGACAACGATGGTCCGCCTCGTGGCCCATCGTTGTCACGCGTTTTTATTATTAGAAAATTTGATGCTGCTTGGGACCAACGTTGTCAGGCTTAATCCTATACGCACAAATGTGTTTCCTGGGTTTCTAACTCACTACTGATTTTCATGAGCAATATTCAATAAATTCAACATGAAAATGTTCTATAAATTCTCCATGCTACAAGTTCAACCACAAGCAATATATTTATAATGATGATAAGAGAATATAGAATTGAATACGAAAATTTGTTTTTAACTGTAGAAGGTAATTTAATTGGAAAATGCTGCTTACCTGCTCAGTTGTCTGGACACTCGTGCGATGACGGTACGGTACTGTCTGACCGTACCGGTACCCATGCAATCACTCATGAAAGAATGGGAGATACGGATAGTCTCGTAGAATATAGACTACTGAAACACTCTCTGCGCCTGCCCCATACCGTACAGCCGTAACGTACCGATCCAGACAAATGATAAATCGCACGTGCTCAACCATTTATTTCAATCCATACCTCGACTCACTATATTCTACTAGGATCGAGGTATGGATTGAAATAAATGGTTGAGCACGTGCGATTTATCATTTGTCTGGATCGGTACGATGCGGCTGTACGGTATGGGGCAGGCGCAGAGAGTGTTTCAGTAGTATTCTACGAGACTATCCGTATCTCCCATTCTTTCATGAGTGATTGCATGGCTACCGGTACGGTCAGACGCAAAGCGACTATAACCGACTACCGGTATTTGGTAAGACGGTACGGTACCATCGCGAGTGTCCAGCCAACTGAGTAGTTAAGCAGCATTCTCCAATTAAATTACCTTCTACACGTAAAAACAAATTTTTCGAATTTTCGTATTCAATTCTATATTCTCTTATCATTATTATAAATATATTACTTCTTGTTGAACTTGTAGCATGGAGAATTTATAGAACCTTTTCATATTGAATATTGCTCAAGAAAATCAGTAGTGAGTTGGAAACCCAGGGAACACATTTGTGCGCGTAGGATTATGCCTGACAACGTTGGTCCCAAGCAGAAGCAAATTTTCTAAAAATAAAAACGCGTGACAACGATGGGCTTGTCAACCTTTTTATTTTCTTATTATTCAATTTTTTTTTTTTTTTTAATTTTTTTTTTTTATTTTTTTTTTCCGTTTTTTTTTTCGTTTTTATTTTCAATTTTTTTTTTTTTTTAATTTTAATTTTTTTTATCATTTTTTTTTTCAATTATTTTTATGTTTTTTCACAACTATTTTTTTATTTTCGGTTTTTTATTTTATTTATTTATTTTTTTTTCAATTTTACGCGTGACAACGATGGGCCACCATACACCTATATGCTATTGCACCCATGGAATTTTTTTTGTTTCACGGATAGTTAAACCCATACTAACCCTAACCCATGGGTTTTAGCACCCGCATATAGATTGAACCCGTGGATGTACGCATGAGTTCAAATGTACATGGGTTCAAATGTACGGTCACCCGAAAAACTACACTGATTGCTAGATTGGGCATTGCGGAAAAGGTGATAAGTGGTTTAATATACAAACAAACGTACGGTATACCGTCGGTCCTGTGTCATCGATGTCAGCTCATGTGACTGCTCTGTGCGTACCGGTACCGTATTCCATGAAAATGATCACGAGTTCCGTTTCGGCTTTCTAATATTCGCGTCCCCGAAAATTGAAATTTTTTAGATATGGGATATGAAATTCCGTGTACCAGGTTAATAATGTACACGACGTGGGCGTCTGGATCTTTTTTTTTGATTGTTGTTGTTGCTGGAAGGCTTATTACTTTAATTTATTCCAAATCACAATTTTGTGGGCTCTATGACACTCGTTTCTCACTTGAAGGTTTGAGTGATGACGTCAGCAAATATGAAAATTGCGCAACGTTTGACGGCTACGCGATCTGGTAGTCGGCGAAGTCGGGAGTTTTTTTTTATATTGGACACGAAATGTACATACAGATCGTTTTGTTGTTATAATGTTCTTGTTCTACTTGTTGTTGTTGATAATTTTTTCTAGTTTTTATAAATAAATAGCTTTTCTCGTTGACTAATGGACCAATTGCTTTCAAATTTTCAGGCTATCACTCTTATTCATTTCAAAACTTTCTGTGGGTTCTATGTAATTCGAAATTTTGTGTGATGACATCTTCAAAATTGATAAAAAATTATTTATGAGATTGAAATAAAACTACTTCGTTTTGGCCTACGTGTACTCGTATTTGAGCATTGCTCGCCTGCCAAAGCGTCAATATACTACTACAGTCAAAGTAATTGTCCCAGATGTAAAATGATAACTTGAAATAGGGATCTTTTTGTACGTTTTGCTACGAATTTGTTTTCAGTAGCTGGATCATTATGCCACAATTTTCAGAGTAGATCCAACTGAGCGAACATTGTTGGCGATGATTAAAATGAGTTTCGGTAATTAGGCATGCGCGTCGTCTTTCCTCTACCGAGTTAGATACGATCCACCACAAATACCTTGCTGGCTACGGCTTCCTCCACCACCAAGTACATCTGAAACAAATAACTGGCTAACCAATCCTACATTCGTCACAGACAGGGAACCAGACGTAAGGCCATTATACGCCATATCCTTGAGCTATCATGTCGGCATTCCGACATTTTCACTCATATTCTTGCTATTTCATCTATAGAACCGAACTACGGATAATATGACACATATTTACACATCGTCCAAACAAAGTAATGTGTACAAAATCACGTTTGCTTGTTGTGGTCAGCTGAATACTGAACATTTCTTCGAGAGCGCTCAACCTGCGTCAACTTCTTCTAATTGTTACACTCAAGTATCCTTGCTGCCATTTGAGCTTAAAATTCAATTCTTTTACACGCTCTCGAAGGTGTGTCGATTATCGAAATGTAAAAGAGATTTAAATATCATTCTCACTTGGTTTGAGTGAGAAAAACTTTGTCTTTTAGAAAAGTTGTTAAGAACAAATCAAATTGTGATGGCGTAGGCAGAAATTGTTGACTTAGTCAATCAAAGAGCTTTCATGTTCAGTGGTCTCTAGCTTTACAATGAATCCGATTTTATCACAGGATGTTCAAAAAGTTGAAAATGCAATGAGGATTTCGCGGCGCAAGGTCGCTTGGACTGCAAATGATGGGCAATGTCGCAAACTTGTTGGACTTTCCGCTATGCGAGTGTACCTGACAATTTGCGTCGTTTTCACTGCTGTTTTTTCGGTTCTTTGTGTGAAGCTTTTATCTGATTCCCTCTCAATTCAAAGACTAACTAATGTTTTGCTGGGACCTTACGACGAAGCTATTCATCGCGCTGAAGATTTAGGATTACTTGGTAAAATACTGCACGATGAAAAAGTTCTTGGAGATAAAATAGAAATGCTATCGGGATGGGCTAATAATTCTGGGTGTATCCCTGGAGATGGGCTGCTGTTCAAGTACGTATAATAAAACTTGCTTTGGTGATATTTAAATTATGTTCTAAAACTCAAATTAATACATGGAATATGTTACGCATCAAACTAAGCAATTTTGATAAATTCCCCTTTTTTAATTTAAATTTTATCTGATTCGTTCTCTTTTTAAGAAATAAATGTTACATACTTACAAGAACCAAAATGTCCTACGAGAGTGTTAAAAAACACTGCAAGTTACGTGATGGTAACGTTGCTTTTGCTCAAAACGAAGAAGTATGGTTCAAAATATTGGAATATTTATGGTCAGTAGGATTCAACTATGCGAGTCAGTTATGGATGGGATTAGAGAAGGTACTTTGATTATATATATATATGTATATATTTATATTTTTGTTTACTTATTACGCAAATTCTATCTTATCATATTTATGCATACTCGTTGGAAAATTACTTTTTAAGCTTACATGACATTTCAGAAAATGAAAGATTTTCAACACATTCGCATTATAAACTACCTTCTTTTCAGAATTCGTCAGATGGAATTTGGTACTATTCTAACGGAGAGGTTGCATCGTTTACGAAATGGGCGAAAGGAAACATATTTGATGAAGGTTTCGATTGTGCACAAATCCGTACCGATGTCAGAGAAAAGGCTGGATTGTACGACAGACGTTGCTCAGATTCCGAATTGGCAATGTGCATGTTTCGTGTGGATTAGCTTAAATAGGTGTTATTCCATAGGGCTGGGCATTTCGAATTGAAAGTAAATTATTCGAATCGGTTCAAATCAAAATTTCGAATCTTAATTCCCCAATTTTTGTTACTGAAGCCATATTTTTTCAACGCAATTCTGATATATGACTATTTTCTGTAGTGAGTTATTGCTAAAAACGTGTTTTTTATTGAGTGTGAACGCTTAGCAATCTGTCTGAGTGATGTATTCTATGTTTTCAGTAGTTCATTTGTTGACAGGACCAATTACAATAAAAAAGTCGCACATGTCTCTCATTGACTCCCGAGTATTCGAGATTCGATTCGAAAAAAATATTCGATACGATTCATAAGTCATCGGGTATTCGAAAATGCCCAGCCCTATTCCATACCGACTAGTCTACCTTCATTTCAGTTGAACTCTCTTTTTCTTTTTAAAAATGGAAGTGAAAAATGTTGGAAATATACACTGATAATAATAGGAATCAAAACGAATGGATTCTTCAACCCATCGCTTTGTGGTTCTTCAGCTGGCCATGAGAACGCGTCAACGAATTTGCTCAAATGTCATTGGTATCAGAGTATAATTACTTTGGTAATTACAAGTCTTAGTAGTTGAAATTGGTGTAATAACTGGATTTTGGAAGTTGATAATAATATTGTATTGCAACTATACCTGATACGCCGTGCCTATACGCTGTGATCTCTTTCATGCATGAAACAGGCCAAGACATGGCTGCGCTCAGCGATGACTTCTGATCGCATATGAGATTTATGTGTTCTTCATTGTCACCAACGACAAGAAAATCAATCTTATGGGAGTAGCTTAGCTGATGTAAAGCAACGAATAAACTTGTAGGTTCGGTGCGATACATATTGTCAGGTTTATGTAATAATTATTTATTTCATGTTTGAATAAATATTCGGAGTAGACCTATATTAACGGTGAAGATTTACGTTGTCGAATTAGACTCTATCAAGCTATAATATTGACGTTTTTTTATAATTTCGTCTTTGCTATGTTTGGGATTAAAACATAACAGAATGAATCTATCATGAACCCTTAAAGCGTTTTTAAATCTTGTGGACTCTCTCAAAAATGATGATGTTATGGTGACCGTACATTTGAACCCATGTGTATATCCGTGGGTTCAATCTATGTGCGGGTGACAAAACCCATGGGTTAGGGTTAGTATGGGTTCAAATATCCGTAAAACAAAAAATTCCATAGGTGCAATTGTTGCGGGTTCAAATGTACGTGGGTTCAAATGAGATGGTACCAAATGTTATATAGGAGTAGTACAAAGTAAATTACTACTAAACAGTTTCATTGAGACACCTGCGTGTTTATTATCTCGTTTGTGAAAAACAACAAACCAATGAAAGACGGCAACAAATTACTACTGATCGACGTACGCGAATCGCACCAGAGTACACTGAATTTGAATCAGTGCTTTCCATTGATCCTCCCAGATCGTCTAAAATACATATTGAAAGAATAAAAAGGAATTATTTGATTGATACAAAAATAAAATTCATCCCAGAATTGGGATTTTACATAGCTGTGGTTCTTGAACTGTATGGTGCGTAACTTTTCGAAGGAACAATAGCAATCAGTGGTCTGTTTGAATTTATAAGTTAGATAACTAAATATTGGAAATGATTATGTGAAAAGCTAGTGCATCCAAATAAAAAGAGGCAATTCGGCATAAGAATATGTATAAATATAGAGAAGATTGTATTCAAATTGGATTTATTTTTTTATGCTTCGAGACCAGAGTATTGCACAATAAAGCCTGTCTTTTTATTCTATTGATTGTCACAAAGGCCTCAAGATATTATTATTATATTCATTTTGATGGCTCTGCGAATATTGTTTTTCTATACTAACTGAAATTCAGGGCAAAATACAAAAAGACTTCTTCGTATATGAACGATAAAATGCGGGTTTGCTGCTTGCAACTTCGAAACCGCGTTTCTATCGCTTTTTTTAAAATCAGATTGAAATTTGTAGAATAAAAAATTTATAGAAATTATAGTTTTTGTTTATTCATTTTTTAGTGTGTCGCAAGCTGAAATAGTTAGGGAGCTGCACCATTAAAGTATTCATCACTTCAAATGCTTTCTCCAATACCTCAAATTTGTTTCAACAACCCTAAATCAACTTTTCTAAATCATTCTTGAGAATGTAACTATCGAAAAATATGGTATTAGTTTACCTGCTATTTTGTCGATTATTACGATCCCATTTATTGTTCTGAAAAAAAGTGAGTATCCGTTATTGGACTTATCAGATTTACTTCAGCCAACGTGGCTGTTAATTTAATTCATTAGAATATTTCAAATTAATATGCTTCATGTTGTCCTCCTAAGAGGAAACGGAAATAGGCTTTTCGAATAGCTTCGCGACTGCATAATCACTACCAAATATAACTTTTTTCTATCAATTACTGTGAAGTATTATATATATATATATATGCGCTATAGTATTTATCGTTATACCTTTAAGTCGAAATGAGAAAATAAATTTGATAAAAATGAGGTTTGTAATTTCCGTGACCATTAGTTTTTGATCCCTTGCTCATAGATAAATGAGTATGGATTTTATTTTTCAAACCAAAATAAAAAGATAATTAAATACAAGTCCAGCTGCTCATTGCTGTTAGTAAATCACGCAAAATACGAAACATCACATATTTATAAATTTAAGCAGGTTTGAATATTGAACACAGTTTGGAAGACAGATAGATATACTAAAGATTAAACTAAAGATTAAAACTTACCCGACAACCAAACCGAAAATAAATATAGACAAGTGTATTCCACTGTTCATTTTGTCAATCCTTTTTCAATCAAATGCCAACGATTGTAGGTTATATAGTGCCACCAGCTCACTCAAATCGTTTCAGCCTCGTTCACGCACCTCCTTCCTGCTCACGCTTTGTTCATCAATTTGACATATTTACCATGTGGTAAAGAATATTGATAATTGCAGATATGGAAAAATAAGTGCACAAATAAGGAAAATTTAAATTACTTCTGATTGAATTTAATGAATCTGATATAATTGTGATAATAGATTGGATTTCATCCATTTTGATGGGAAAGGGGTTTTGACTTCTAAATATGCGTTTAAAAAATAATTTTTTAAATGAATATTTGTGCTAGTTTATTGTCTGATCGTCTTTCACCGAGCCTCTCGCGTCACCAGTGGCCCTATTTCGTTTTTTTTGTTCTTCATTCTATATCCATTGCTTTTCTCTCAGTTGTTGATATATATAATATATATATTAATTTTATATGCTATTCACCTTCCCTTGTTTATTTATTTGGCGGTCGATTTTCATATATCATTCTATATGAGCGTTACAGAGGTACGAAATAATGGATAACCATTAAAATTATCATTCCCAAAATTTAAACTATGCTTGGGAGAATTTGAAGTTACCACTTCGGCGGAATTGTCAAACATAAAGCACACCAAACTCCGAAATTAATACTTAATACGATCGATTCATATCCACGATATATCCAATTTTGAGGGGATAATGTGTAAAATTTATCCTGACTACTCAGATTATTTCAATACTAACAACAAGTCAACTCAAGATCTCTCTCTGATACAACTCAAATGTACATCAATATTATACCATCAAATCTGTTATACTGCACAATCTCCTCGTTTTCGATATAAACTTGAATTAAAAGTAGTAAATCAGAATTTAGCCAGAAGGATGTGCTTTGCCCGCTGGCCATGGACAGTGGAATTTTATTTCCGTGTAATATAAATGTAATCAATCAAAAATAAGACGCTTCCTCGTTGATTTTAATAACTTTAATTAATCATCGAACTCTAATTACGTCTGACAGGGATTTTGTTTCAATTTCTACTTGAATAAAACCTTATGAAAATTTAATAATAGCCGTTGCCGACAACATTGTGTGTTCTGTGTCAGTTGGTTGCGCTGATAAAAGTAATCGAGACTCTTGAATCATTTATATATACTCTATTCAAACATTAATCAGGTTACAGTAACAATGATAAATCAAATTAAAAATACGAAAAAATAAAAATGAGTCTGCAAATAGATAATACAAAAATACAGAAAAACAAATTGCATTTTTTTTGACAGGTCTTGTGAAGCTCTCTGAATACCGCAACACAATATTTCTCGATTCAGCCAATACCGATGAATTCAACAACATTGATACTATGTTCATGTACAGTTGCTCAAATAAATATATATATCTGCTCCAGTGATTTTAATGGCCATACATTATTAATTGATGGCCATCAACTCAGTGGTGTTATCTCGCTTTCAATCAATATCAGACCTCAATATCATTCAACCTCCTTTAAAAACTACAAAAAATTTGAAGCGCTAATAAATTCGCTGAATTGCGAGTCACATGTAACTGCTATAAATGAAACATGTCTTGTTTTTGGTACAAATGATCATTTCAACCTTTAAGTTGTTATGCTTTCATCTCAAATAGTAGATCGGTAAATAAGGTAGATCTCATCACCGAGGTGGTGGACGGTGGTATTAGTATTCACATTCGAAATGACATGAAATACATTATTTACAGCGATCTCACTATAATGCGTGATTTGAGTCCATATTTATTGACATATTATTAGAAAACAAGAGAGGTATATGCTCAAATGTATGGACACGGAGCCCATAAATAAAAGTAATAGCCTACAATCTTCAACCACTGAAAATTTCAAAGCAATTGGTCCAGCAATTGAAGAAAAAAACGATTTTTTTAATAACGATAGGAAGACTAATTCTAACAACAACACAGCGAGAATATCGGTCAGAGACCGAAGACTTATAGATCGAAAGTTAGGGATCCTCGAAACAGCACTCTTACTCCATAGTGAAACCTTGTGTCCCATTACTAATTAATTAATAACTCACTAATTATACGGCATAATTCATCGAAAATTAATAGGCTTCTGATCCGAGATATGATGAATGCACTTGCAAAATCTGGAGCGGATTCAATCTCGCTTTCGTGAGTTATCGCGCGCATCTAACAGACATACAGACAAATACCTATCAACATACTTACCGATTAAATCGATAAGTAATGATGTTGATAACTTCGACAGCAGCAGTTTGCTTAGCATAGTCTGGAAAAAGGTAACGCGGGATTGTCCTTAATGGTTACCGGTTTCCGCTCCGAGATTTCGTGATGTCAGATTTTTCAGAAACCCATGATTTAGTAATACTGTTGGAAGTTTAGTGTTTAATAAAAATAAATCAATCATGGGTATGGAAAAGACATCCATCCAACCCCCATGATTTATTACGGTGTTTTTTATTTACATGTCCACCAAACTTTTTGAGGGAAATCCCCATGGAAAAATTGATCAAAAAGATATTAACTTGAATTTTTCTGCCCAACCGAAAAATTTCTGTCACTGTTCATTTCTTTGATAAATATGATACTAGTCTACATAGAATATATTCAGAAGCAATATTTCAGATTATATTCAAAATAGAAAATTATTTAGTTTTGATCATTCCCCCATACAGGCATACGTTTATCATATTTGCAGATATATTGGTATATGGGTGAGAGTAAAGATAAACTAGAATCTTAGAATGGCTGAAAAAATAACAAAATATTTTGAAGTGAAATTTTCCAATTCAAGTAAAGAGAAGAAAACTTTTGATGATTCTTCGCAACCAATTTCAGATACAAAAGAGGAAAGTCAAACCTCAAATATCAAAGACTTGTCTCTAGAAGAATGCATGCGTTTGGGCCAAGACAACACAGCAATGTTTATCATAGAAAAAGCAGTACAGAATAAATGGCCTTGGTTGGAAGTTGGTATCTCAAATAATGGAGCAGTAATTTTACAAATCACATGTCAAAGTGAGAAAGAGGATGACTTTAACAAACTCTTGACAGAGAAAAAAATCGAAAATTATTTAAAAGATATTTTTGAAGATCTAGAATCTGATTTGCTGGGCATCATTGGAGATAAACAATTTGTTATTCATGAGTCGAAAATATTGGAATTACTAAGTGGTATGATTGTGGAGTCGTTTGATAGCATACGGAGGTAGCATTTTGCATATTTTAGCTTGTAATCCATAAAGCTGTAAAGAATATAAATTCCAAAAAAGTTTTCTGGAAATTTTATCCTTCAAATAATTGCTTCTACGAATGCCCAAATCTACATAAAACGAAATTGGCTAGTTTCTAGAAAAAAATTCCGATCTTGCTGTCATTAATATTGAGGTAAATGCATTTTGTTTCTTCCTTCAACTTAAAACCAAATTAGCAAAAGTCTATATGATTGATTTATTATTAGGAAATAATTATAAAAATGAAATTTAATTTTGTCATCTTTCCCATGGGCTGCATATAAAATATATAGTAGTTATGGTATGACTTTAATATGATGATATTCTCTGCTCAAATAACATATATCATAATTTAGGAATATTGTGTGAAAATACAATCAATTGCAAAGCTTATTTTTTAATAATCAAACATGGGGATCATTATGTTGAAATAATTAAAATCCTTTGGGTTTGTTGCCACAACCTAACCAATTCTTTGTCAATCAAAAATCACACGATTTTCCAGTTCATTATTGTAATTGGTTTTTATTTGTTGCAGTTGCTTCAAAGTTTCTAATCAACTGGAAAAAAACATGAAAGTTGAGTTTAAAATTTTGAAACCTGGACAAAGTGATGTCATCACATCTACTGCTGATGTAGATTTGGTGAAGGATGCTATCAACTTGCTAGGTCCAGAAGGGAAAGAATCCTTTCATATTGATAAATGTCTTAAAAATGACAGTTTTGACACAATCAGAATTGCCCTTTTTGTGGTTGCCAGCTCTTTGATGAAGAAATGGCCTTGGATGAAAATTTCGGGAATAAAGAAAAGAAATATTTTGCAGATATCGGTTGAATCTAAATATGACGTCATGTTTTCTCATCTTATGGACAAAAACAAAATTGAGAACCATGTTAGAGAAGATTTTGAATGTATGAATGCTAATTTAATGGGGATAATTGGGAGTCCAATTTATTTAAAAACAGGAGAAGTTATTTGTCAACTTCTAGAAGGAGTTCATTTGAAATCTCTTAAAAGGTAGGCTATAATAGCCTTAATGTTTTTTCATTTTTTCTCCAAATAAAATAGATTTTCAAAAGCGTCATTGCCCTGACTTTTAGGTAATATAATCTATTATATTATAAAGGATTGTTTGAATTTCTAAAATAACAGTTGTTATTTGATTTCATGGGGTTAGATATAAATTAAGGTACTCCTGTAGTATGTGAACCAAGATGGCGGAACGTAGTATGTGTACCAGGTTAGGGTTAGGCAATACTTTCAGGTACAAATACTACAGGAGTCACTTGGCTAATCCCCGGACTCGTGATAGAACTAAAATAGGAAGATTGGAATAAAATTATGGCCTAACGCTAACTTAACCTGGTACACATACTCAACCTAAATAAAATATCAATTTTAAATATTACTAGTTTACTGTGAAAGCTGTTTTATTCAGACATTTTATTTCGTATGCACTTTTTCAGCAACAGGCACCGTCCCTCGATTGATAATCATTCTTCCGCTTGCATTCGCCTATCTATTGAAGAGTCTGGGGAAAGTGAATCACCCGGTGAACAATTAGTGCTCACCACTGAGACAAAATTTGTTGCTGAGATTGCAACATCCGATATAGAAGCTGAACCAATTGCAATGGAGAATGTTTTGGGATCTGGTAATCAAGCTGCTTTAGCAATTTCATTGGCTTCAAGGTCTTTGACAAGAGAATGGCCCTGGATACAAACAACAGATGTCATTGAAGGAAATCGATTGTGTTTAAGTGTACCAGAAGGAAGGGGAAGGGAGCTTCATATGCTGATTAATGAAGGACAAATACGTGACAGAATTAACCATGATTTTGAACATCTAGAAGATGAATTAACACATATTTTACAAGAAGGAATTCTTGGTGAATTTAGGTCAGAAATTGTGAGAAGAATGAAAAATGTTAATGTGACAAAAATAGACAAGTTAGTAATATTTTCAATTTATTTATAAGATTATTCCCATACACAAATATTTTGATATATTTGAATTCTGACAAATAATTTTAATGGGAAAAAAAATTGATTTACAGCAGTGGTATTTTAGATTGAAAGAAGTAATTTTTTACAAATTCCTATTTATTAGTATTAAATTCAATTCGTTTCGCAACAATTTTTCTTTGTCATGCTACTCTTATATTTACTTATGTTTTTTTTCTGTCTCAGGGTAAACATACCAGATGTTTGTGGCACAGCAAATAAGTACATAGATGGTGGTGAAGCTGGTGGAATCCACACTATAATTTCGAAAAATACAGTTAATCTTGCAAGTCAGTCTTATATTGTATTTGAAACGAAGTTTCATTTATTTCCTTAATTTTCTGTTTAATTAAATTCCATGTATGGGAGAATGATCCCACATGAAAAGTTGAATTCTATCCCACAAGTTGCATTTCTAGCAAACAACACCTTTAGAACTAAGATGACCCAAAGGTCATTTTCTAAAGAATATCTAACTTTTGTGCAAAGTGTCCTAAATTACTGAAACTTTTTGGTACAATCATACACAAACACAGTTTTAAGAAATTTAAATGATCTGAAGTTTTGGGGTCGCATTGTTTATGTTACTGAGGCTATTTTATAGAGAATTTCAGACGTATAACATTGGTTTTCTTATCATGCTAAGCTCGTGGACACTGATCACAGTTTTACTGTGAATAACTTACATTGGGATCGTCCACAGATTACCTTATCTGATAATCAGCATTCTGTAGTTCACAACCAATCTTTGTCCATATTAAATTTATAAATTCTCATCTTATCTTGTTTATTAATTTGTATATTTACTACAATAATTTCATAATTTAGAAAGTGGGGATTCACAAAGGGACATAACAGCAAATGTTATTGCAAAAGGATCAGGGGTGACCAACATACACGAGGATAATGTGATCAATATAGCTGGAAATGTTAACGGTATGAGGAAGTTGATTTACTTATAATACTTGTAGCATTTTGATCATGAGCTGCTCCATTTTATTAGGCAAATATATATCCTAATATATTAGCTATAGTGTATTTAGCATACCTTATTTTGTATAGGATACCCATGAAATCTTCAAAAATGCAAAGGGAATTCATCGATACCATATACTGTTATGGCCCTCACAGATGTATTAATAAATGAAGTTAAAATACTTACTGATTACAATTACTGATTTAAAAACAACAAACCTGGTTAAGATATATCGAGAACTGACTTCATAACAAAATTTAAATCGTAAAGGTACTTTTCGGACGCCTTATATAACTAGTGAGGTTTAAAATAAAGTGTTCATTCTGCTTAGCTTATTTTGTTTTCCATTTTATTGGACATGAAGCCGGTTTGTTTCACTAAATTGTTAGTCCCAAGTTTTTTCTTAGGAAGCGAAGTTTCAAAATGTTTTTAAGCTCTCAGTTTTTTACCTCTCATATTAGTAATTTTAAATAAAATTGTGTCACACCAGGTTTATCATCCCATGCTCTTATGCAGTTTTTCTTTATTTGTGGGGCTTAGCTTGCTATCGTGTCATTAATTTTTGACATTTACAAATTGTGATCAAATTATTGATAACGTCTTTTCTCCTGAATTTCCTAATTTTCTTGGGTCATATTTGCACCTGTTTTCAATGTAAGCTAGAGCTTAGTCATGTGTATTCCCTATTTTAAACTACGACTTGCAGACAAGACTGCATATTCAGCGATCTTCTTTTTGAATGCAAATGATTTCCCATAGTCATACGTTGACACATAGTTATGCATGCATGAGTGTGTAGTCATTCTAAAAAAGATATGCAATCGTATTTAACAACATGATACTTTTAAAATCCTAATAATGTCTTTCATTCCAGCTATATTTCTATTGCTTTTATGGAACTGAGCAACAGTGATGGATTGAATGTGAATTGTTATTTTTATTTTCATTCTATTCAATTAGGTAAAATTTCTGGGATATATAATTTTTGTCATCCACATTTACATAATAAATTTTGAATCTTTTTTGCCCATGTTACTCGAATTAACATGCAGAGAGTGGTACCTTATACTTTTTTCTTTGCAGCCAGAGACCTGGAAGTCGTCGGGAAGTTACTGGCAAATCTGAAAAAATAGTCCAACCATCATCAGTCATCAATTTTGAATGTTTCATCTATTGTATAAAATACTTTTTTTATTTGAACTGATATTCTGTATATTTAGATATTAGTTTTTAAAATCATGTTTATATTATGCCTTTTTTTAAAATTTGATTTTAATAATTTAGTTATTAGTTTTGATGACTTAACTTTTATTCTGGAGTTCAACGTCTGGCACACTTCTTCAACTAACATTTCATGTCAATTTTTGTAGTTTTAATTGAAAATAATCGTTTTTAATCATCTGCGTCATATGTGGAGCTGGTGACACTTTATGCAGATTGTTGCAATAGTAAGGGTATTTTTAAGTTCTCTAATTTTTTGGCACTTACAGTTTACTTTTTGAATCAACTTTGTGTGCTAAATATGTTGATAGCATAAAAATAGAAGTTTCGTTCATAATAAATTTCTTTCATTATTTTAGATGAATTTAAAATATACCGGTAATATACCGAAGGTAGAAATTTTGATATAATTTAATTAGCGATATCAGGATTTTAAAAATTGTAAGATTACAGGATTCATCTTGTTTTTCTGTTTTATTGTATGTGACAAACAATTTACAATTTACTAAAAACAATTTACTAATAAGTTTTTTTAATATTGAAGTTGACGACGTAAACCTTGTACTTGTACAAATTCTGTATACAGATTCAGCATTTATTAAAAATACATTGGAAATGTTCTTTATTTCCCAACACAGCACTTACTTATCGTTCCCGAAAGTTCTAAATCATTATTTTTTGCTTTTTATGCTATGCCAGGTTGGTTAAAGATGTGTGTATAATTTCATCATTTTGGTATATGAATGCTAAATAGAATTTAAAAATCTGTAACCGAATGGTTTATTATCTCACCAGCATTTGAAATTTGGATGACTATGTAATTAGCATTTTATATGATTTTTCAATTATATCTGTAAGTTGTATCTGTTTATTGAGTCAGTAAACTTCAGTATGACCATAGACATTTTGAATAAATATTGAAAATTTGGGGTCGATACTCGATGACCAGATTTAGTTCGGTGTGGTTACCCTCCATGTAGTTTTTGTGGTCAATTTTTTTTCTTTCAATTTTTTATTAGTGGTTGGAAAAATCGGACTACGATGCTGATGATGAAAAGCCTACCAACCTATCCTATTTTACAAAACAATATCATATAACATAGGGTTCGAAACTACATATAATATTACTTTTACGCATGCGAAATACGACTCAACATCCTGGCACTGTATGTATATTTTCCTTTTTATTCTGCTATATTGCGGTGTATAGTATATATACCTTCATTAGATTCTTATTTACTAAAAAAAAAAATTTAACCCAGAATGTATTATCATATTTCGTTTTAATGATGTGATATGAACGCTGAAGTGATAAGATAAGATGATTTAGGATAGGATTTTCAGAGGAGGAAATCCGATAGAACAGCTTGAACATCTGGCAAACCACGGCCGACTGCCACTCATTGTCGGGTATGATAATAATAGTTATTTGTTTCAGATGGTGGAGAAAGCCATACCCGACCAGCGATTAGGTGAACCACCTTTCGACGACGAGGAGTACAACAATCCCTTCGCACATGATTATCCCTTAAGGCAGGGGTAGGCAACCTTTTATCGCTCGCGGGCCAAAATTAAAGGATGCAAGTCATTGTCGGGACGCACATATTTTTAAAACGGTGGTAACCGAACGGATTATTCTTTTTATAATAAAAATCCAGCAGTGATACATCTCTCGAATAGAATATAGATTTATTTCCTCATTGCATCTCAAAAAATTCCGCGTCATTGAGCCCTTTGCACCTGTCATCATCAACTTTTCTGTGTTTTGTTGCCATTTGTCCAATTATAATTAAATTATAGGCTCATTAAACGAGTAATTGTGTATTTCATACATGGTAGATTATATTATAATTTGGTCTACACGTGTCTCACAATAAATTCTGTAAACGTAAAGAATATAATCGTCAAAACAGCTATTTTGTTACTTTAATTCAGGGAAGCGCGCGGGTCGGCTTATATTACTCCGCGGGCCGTAGGTTGCCGACCCCTGCCTTAAAGGGATGCGAACCTGCACAGCGTGATCAGAGAATCATGAAATCGTATTTCTAACGCCTAATTAGATGCGCTAACCGCCGAGTTCGAACTCCTTCATTATCTCAACGTTTATAAGCTGGCGTGCAATCTCGTAATAGGGGTGACCAACGGAAAGTCTCGATCTGGTTTATATTTCCTGAAATTATGCTATATGAAGCATAACAAAATATCCGAATGAATGTATATAAGACGCGTTAACCATGGAGTTATTTCCGTTTAATTGTCACATGACGTAGCACATGTACACTCACATTTTGTTATATGTATATAGTTATGTTGTAATGTAGCAGAATCATTTTGATGTAAAATGTTTATATATCAGAAATATTGCTTTTGATGGAATCGGAAGAACGTGATCTCTCGGGGGTTGGTGGGACTTTCTCAGGTATTTCCACAGCATAAACTGTATCACCATTGTTAATTTCAGCTTCTTTCAGTGATTTATCATTGTCAAATTTTTTGCCCTTTTCATCTTGCCAATATACGTCTTTTTTCTCCTTTTGTTGTATGAATCTTCCGAGACCTCCGAATGTTTCGGTGGTACCACAACTGTGGACGAACTCGAATCCTCTTTTCCTCCATTTCTTCTTTTCGACCTCCGGAAAAACCAGCTTTAGGGTTATTTTTATCACATTATTCTCGACTGATATTTTTTTGTGCTTTGCATTATTATGTCTGTTCACTTTCGGTTTTTTGTTATTATTGATTCTCTTTCTCTTCTTTGTAGTCTCAGAATCTTAAAAAATAGGACAAAACGAATATATGTATATTTATTTGTCTCGCTCCAAATAGGAGAAAATTATCATATATATATATATAAATTATATAAAGGTTTGTGTATATGCGCTACATGTAGCCATTGCAAAGGAAAGGGCTTATGCAATCGCTAAACATAATTTTATATAGATGCTGCTAGTGAGTTTCGCTCTTTTGCGTCCCGTTATATACTTTTATGCTGGAGGATACACAACGTGGCAAATCTGAGTTGCAACACTTGAACATTCGATCTCGCTCGATCAAATGGTTGGTCCACAGAGCTTGATAAATATAGCAGAATACGGAGGCAATCAACGTTTTTTTTATGAGGTTAGCTATCTTGCAAATGTAAATGATAGTTTGATGCGGTACTATTGGTATATATATATCCAATATCAGCTATGCAATGAAAGCTTTAAAAATCCGGATATGAGTATATGTATATATATATATATAAATATATATATTTAAATAAAAAAAAAATATATGTATATAAAATAACTGAATCACTTACCGTTCGTTGATGTGGATGGAGCATCGATTGGAACGCGCTGTGATTTGTTGGTAGGTGATCTCAATCTAGGCATATTCTAGGATATGCTTCACCAATATAGTAAGCAGGGAATTTTTAAAATATACGCGTAATTTATCTGCTTGTGACAAAGATTTATTATGAGGTCTCGACTGTTTTATTCAAACTTATGAATTTCATATATATATATATCTGTTTTTGCTATCCTTTTTAAACCATACTAATTTTACATGCGCATCTTTCAACACCATCGTATTAATTATGTGCTATTAGTAATAGTATTTCTGATCAGAAAACCATCTTTACAGTATTTGTTCTTGGCGTGTATTTCCTCATGAATAATTCTAATATATTTGGATCTTTTATCACGTATTGCACATTAAATGGCCTACATCAGACATGGGCAAAGTAAGGCCCGCGGGCCAAATCCGGCCCGCCTGATGCTGCCACGACTAAGATTGTAAGTTTCGAATATAAATCGAATTTCGAATCACAATGTTCCGATTCTAATATTTCCGAATCTGATTCTATTTAGTATATCATCAGATTATCGTTTATTTACATTCTTCGAATTTGGAGGAAATATAGTATAGATTTTGATAAAATAACAATATTGAGCTTAAAAATGAATAAAGTTACTAGAAAAACATATTGCATGAATTTATCGACTACTAAATATATTCGACTGGGATTTATTTTTTGTTACATATATAGTGGTTACATATTTATTTACATACAATACCGGTTGTCTCGTCTCTAGTGATTGTTTCTTCTAAAATTGACCTTCAGAATACATCCAAATGATAAACGCTACATAGTACCGTTTTGATAAACGCTACATAGTACCGTTTGCGTCACGGTCATACACAAAAAGGAATGGGTACTGAATACACGTATAACTGCACACACGCACATGCAAAAAATTCCACCGCTGCCAATAAGAAGGCTTTGTGGGCACATTGCTATTAAAATCGACACAAAATTTGTATTTTTTATGTTCCATTTAAGTTGTTGATTTGATTATTTAATTGTACCCACAGTAAATGTTTCATCATTTATTTAAGATTTATTCAAATCCTAGAATTCAGATATAAGCGTGCCCTCGTCAAGAAACCTTGCCAAGTATCCATGTATAGGCTATTATCCAAACAACGAAAAATAAATATTCTCAAACCATAAATGTTACATGACTGCTCAAACTTCAGTATCTAACTTACAATTTTATCCAAATACGATTCTTCGCTTGCTTAGAACTAGAACAATTGGGCATTTGGATGCCACTGCTACCATTACACTACTCTTGGAGTGGGACAATAACTTTCGCATACTGCAGAAAATATTGTAGAATCGTTTGTCAGTATAGACACGCCAGTGTTCCGCGGAACACAGTTTGGGAAACGCTGATATAGATGAACTTTTAATATATTAAATTATTTGTGAAACTTCGTAATATTTTAAGTAGTTGAACAAATTTGAGCGAAACAATTGGTCTCTCTCAAGCTGCTACCAATATGAAATATATCAACTCTGGGAGTGTTACGAGTTACGACTTTGGAAAACTGTAAACGTAATTTACCGAGACGGCGCGTCTGCGTTGTGCAATTGCCCTGTATTATCTATGAAATTCTTTTTTCTAATAGAATCAGGTCTCTTTTTCCTAAACTGCTTCGAATCGATTCGAATTGATTTTTATTCAAATCGCTTCGATTCGAAATTCTGAAACTTACATTCCTAGCCACGACCAAATTGAAACTTAAATTTGATGTTTCAGTTAAAAATAGCTGAAGGAATTTGTTGAGATTTAGGTTAAATTTAGTTTTGGCACGAGGTTTATTGCTTTCCACTTTTGCTTTTGTATAACTGTAAACATTGTGAATAAAATACAACTCTCTACGTCATACTTACATGACCCGCCAGTCTAGGTGGGCAAAATTTTTAGCCCCTGATCCGTAAACCGTGCCCACCCCTGGCCTGCATAGTCATTATGAGTATGTTTTTCTCTTATGTGTACGCTATGTCACTTTACCAAACAGCTCAATTTTCTAACAGCTCAATATTACTGTAATTTTTAAAAAAAACGACGTATTACCGTGACGAACTTGTCTGATATAAATTTTGAAAACCGTGCGGCCACCTTCGCCCGCTATGTCTAAATTACTTCCTCAATTGAATAGAACTTCACACTACACGAAGCATGACGAATCGGGTCTGAAGTTATTATTTTGCTATAAGACGCGAGTGCATACTATATTGCATAATACATGCCTCTGCCTTTTCATTATAAACATATTTTATTTTAAGTTACAGCGGATAACATCGTTGATAGACATCTACTTTGCGAATGAATCCAAATCATTCAAGCTACATTCCAAATATCGAAATTAAAAGTAGAGTTTATCGAATAAAAAATTTATGGCGAAAATTAAACTGCAGAACAAAGGAAAACTGGCGCTCCTGAAGTATGTGCACCAAGATGGCGCACAGTCCTGAAACCTAACCTGGTACACATACCATGTTCAGGTTGTGCGTCATCTTGATGCGCATACTTCTTGAGGTCCGGAAAATTAATAAAATGGGGTTGAATATAAACAAATTTATTTTCTCTTGTATTGAAGCTTGTCGGCTATGCGGCTAAAAGGTAAGATTAATAAGAAAATTTACTAATCTAAGAATAACCAACGATAAACGATCAAAAAAGCTGAATATTTTTTCTGCATTATTAAAACTGTTTTTGGTACATGTCGGGATATATAATATATTTGTGCAGTTTTAAATGATCGTATAAATATAATACAATAATATTTGAACTTTTTTGTAAAAGTACAGTGATTTTTGGAGAAACTTGACATAAGGGATAACGCGACATATGGTCAATACGACAGAGAAACAGGAAGTATAGTTGGGTTAAACGTCAAAATATAATTCCAAAGATATCATTTTCATATTATGTCTCTGTTTATTATTGTTTTTTTTTACAATCTTATACATTAAAACGTATGGGTGGTGATCATTTTGAAACTTCCCAAACTATTACAAAAATTCATTTTGTAAATCATATATACAACTAAAACTTGCAAACAATAGACTATTTTTGTAACCAAATACTACATCATTTGATCCGAGCTTCTCCCCATATGTGATGATGATTTCAGTAAACAGAAATACTTGGCGAGTTTCCACTTATTTTATTGAGTAAGTGCACTCATAGTCAATACAATTCGCAGTTCAAGTCCAATTCTCTGCATATTTGATTTACAAAAAAGCGCACAAGTTAAAGGGATGTTATTTAGCCGGTGCCAGTGTCTTCAGCTGATTCACTAGTAAAATCTAGTGTTCCACCTTTTACACCCTCAAGAACTACCATGCTTGCACTTGAACCTGGAAAGTAAACATTAAAATTAATTACTTTAAATAAAATAATAAATCCGCATGTTCGAGATTCACACTTACAACCACACATAGCACTTACAATCACACATATCATCATATTAGTACCATACTCCTATGACATTAAGTTCCACAGAAGATGGATAGTGAATATTCATTTTCTATAGCAGAGTTTCCCAAACTCAATGTTAATATTTAACCATTGATATTCATATATCGCCCGTGTTGCCTTGCGTGCTGTGATAGTAAAATGTAAATCATGTGCGAACGAACACTCGGTAGTTACTGAATTCGTAGTGAAAGCTTCTACTGAGGTGAGAATTGCCAAATAGTCACTGTACTAAGGTATTAAAATCAGGTGATAAAAAATGTAAGGCATATTAGAAGTTATGGAAAGATTAATTTTCATACTCAATCTAATGTACATCTGGGGGTGAAGTGGCCCCTAGTTTCGGAACGCCCTGTTTTATAGCATACCGATGCTAGCATCATGAAACGTAAAGCTGTTTGAAATCTGCGTTTATTATTTCCTTAATTATTTTCGCGACCTTGCCAAGAGCAAAATATACATAGTAAATGGATGGCATACAACTACACTATATTATGTCAGTTGTTGTCGTTGAATTATTACATTGAATAAATAAAAATGTTTTTATCCATTTTTCTTGTAAATCTGTAAATAAGAAAATCTCAATTCTGACGGACAGTAACACATTCAATTCAACTACGTATCCACAATGTGAAAATTGCAGTAATACTGTATTGTCTGCTTCTTTGTTTCCGCCAAGCCCAACTTTACTTTTTCGTCACTTTATTTAGTAAAAATATAGTAGGCCTACCTTCTAGAGCTGCGCTTTTTATCGTCATATCACTTCCACTTGCTAATAAATCTAAATTATCTGTGTTTCGCGCAGTTACAATTGATGTTTCGGTGCCCGCTACGCCTCCTCCAGCTGCAAAAGTTTCAAGGATAAGAGAAACGCATGGCTCAGAGTATAAGAATGCATTAATCATGCGCAATAAATGAAATTTGAACAACACAAAATAATCTGTTTTTCAAGCGGGGTAAAAGTATTAGAAGTTAACTGGAAATACTTATAAAAACATTAGGTGAACGAAATTTTGAATAGGTCAAGAATAAAACGGCTCCTGTTGTTAGTTGACATTTAATGGTGAGTAAAAACATTGAAAGAATGGGAAATTTTGCGACATTAGTGATACTCCGACTTTTACATGCATTAACCTTTTGTTCGGTATATTGTCATATAGAAGTGTTATTTATGATTCCGTACATACCAACTTCTTTAACAGAATTTTGTTGTTTTATCGTTACATCACTGCATGCTTCAAATACGTCCATGGAAGCAGAACCGGAAAAGGAACCTTGAATAAAATGACAGAAAATGTAGATAAATTAAAATAAAGTAATATATAAAATGTTTTGGTCAACATGGAAAGGAACATACAAAGTTATGATACTAACAGCAAAAGGCGTTGTTTATTATAATATGTATATCTGAAATTAGGAGTCGCTTATAGTAAGTTAAAAAAAACTTCAAGACTGTTTTTGCCTTATATTGTTTCGTATTGAGTTGTTATGTTTTGATAACCGGACTAAATCATGTTTCGATTTTAAAAACTTTTCATAGGACGGAATATTCCTGGGAAACGCAATATCGGCTTTAGTACCTTGAACTTTGCAAGTTGATTCTCTGTCATCTTTCTTCACATTGTGACAACCGATGAAAACGTTCTTTGCACAGTCAGTTCCTTCTCTTTTAGCTTCTGAAAAGTTTTATGAAAAATTTTCGGTAGGTATTATCAATTGGAATACCTCGTGAGTTTCGATTAATTAAAAATTTTAAGTCGATTTCGACAATGGAATCAGCAAAATTGTCAAGTGAAACAGGGCTCAGTACTGACGTAAATTTCGTGAAGGCTACTATCTCATTGTTTTTTAAATTGACTTTGATTTATAGTTTTCTAAATCAAGCATTTTCAAATTTTATTTAGAATGTTAAACGAACCTTTCTCGTTTTATGTTTCTGAATATGAATAAATTTCAAATAGGATCAATTTAATTAAACCTAATTTCAGTGACAACTCATTAATTCTAATTCGTATCCTATTCTGTCGATCCATTATGCATTCTGATAAATTTTGTAGTAATAATTCATATGGAAGACACCATAAGGAATCATAGAGTTTGTTATATTAACAATAATTTTAACCCCAAGATTTTTTTTCTTACGGAAGTTTGATTTGGTGCCTCTGTTGTTGATTACTATATTTTCGCATCCAATATATAAATCGCCAATCTCTTTCGGCCTATCTGAATACAAAAACCGTTTGCCTGACATAGTTTATTTATTTATGCAAATATTATTATAAAAACCATCTATTGATCACCAATGCCGGAAACGTGTGTGACCTACACCATCTGAGCTCTGGAATAGAGAGTTTTAAAAAGAATATGCTTAGCTAGGAACGAATCAGTTGGTTGTGATCGAGGCTATTATTGGACGACGGCATATCATTATTATGTCACACTAAAATTCTCACACAAAACAAAGTGAAAGCACGAAGTGTTATCAATTGCAAAAACTTCTGATTACTCAAGTTTCGGAACTTGTTACTTTGTTAAAATAGATGATTTGGGCCTCGATCTTCAACTTACATTCACTTCCAGCATTCAAAAATTAACTTATTTATCATTGACAATAAGACAATCGCTGGTTACTATGCGAATGGTGACCGTACATTTGAACCCACGTACATTTGAACCCATGTGTATATCCGCGGGTTCAATCTATATGCGGGTGCTAAAACCCATGTGTTATATCAAAAAAACCAAAAAAATTCATTTGTGCAATAGTATTCAGGTTCAATTGTCAGGGGATCAAATGTAATGGAACCTATTTGAATACTTCTACTTTCCATTATGGAACCACAATGGGACTGTGCAATACGCACAAATTGGGTTCACTTCTGAATACTGAACGTTTAGCTGTATAGGATAAAAAAAAATTGATGAAGTCTGTACTTTGCCCTATAGCTATGCTTGTTGAACGCATTTTATTGTCTCGCTATTTTACTATGTTTTGTAATCCCAACTGCGTCAGCATTGAACTAGTACAGAACCGTTTCAGATAAAACCGGAGATTACTAAATTTGCCATCACGTTCTATCTTATTGAAGACTGCATAAGATAAAAAAAAGATAAACTGACTGCAATTTCTACCTTCTCTTGAATAACAGGTATTCTGGCATTGCTATAGGTATTCGAAAAATACGATGGCATGGAACGTTCCAAATATCGATTTGATATCAGCTTGTGACGGGCACCATACCATACCATCCACAGTTTCTGTTGAACTAGACGCGGTTGACTGCTTTCGAATATAAAGGTATCCCGGTGTTGAATAAAGCATTTTTGAGTTATTCAACTGAGTACTTCCAGTACTTAAATATGGTTATTGGTGATAAAAAGTTTCTTTTTGAAAGCATTTTTTTTTGGAACTTCAGTATTCAATATTTTAAACCACTTTGATGATTTATTCTATTTGAAAGGGAACACTCGTAATTATATCACGCTTGACGACGACTCTGTCGAGCTCGCCCGACTACAGAGTAACAGAGATAAATATATGTATACTGTGCTTCCAGTTCCGAGTACCCGACGCTGTCGCGCTTTCCCAGCCGTATTCACACATTTTAACATTGTTCTCTTGCTTTTATTTTTCACTTTTGATTATGAAAATATGATATCCATAGAGATATTCAAGAAGTGGTGACACTGATTTGAGCACAAGTTGAACTTGAATGGATTTGGATATGCATTTCGTTGAACGTATTGAAAGTATATATCTCAGACTAAAGCTTGAGAAAGAGAATCTGCACTGACTTTTCAACGAATAATAAAATAGTATGATATGCAAAAGCACACAATTCCATTACTAATTTTTCAACCACCCCTGATTGCAATCATTGTTCATTTTCTATCGTCCCTATTTTTTGTAATACAGTAATAGGATTTATTTGTTTCGTGGTGAGATACACAACCGCCATCTGTTTTCATTTTTATATCCGACGGTTAGTAATAAACAGCGTTTCAGCATGGGTCGAATATTTCCAGACTATTGGTACTCAGTTCAAGTCAAAGCTAAATTTAAGGCGAGCCTAACGTCTAAGGTTCAGCAAGCAGTTTTAATAGACCATGAATTGTATGAGTTGGCCCGAATTAAACACTCCGGTCTTTTCAATCTCAGAATGAATTCCAGAGTATCTATAAGTATTGTATCTACATTGCCTATTTCTACCAAGTAGAGAACGAATAAGCCATTTAATGTGTCAACATATTATCTGAAGTTGACTTCTCAGGGATATCCACAAAAGTAGGCAAATTATTTTTGACAGAGAGATGCAACACTCATCGCATCAAATTGGACTCTCTCCAACTTTTGTCAGGGACAATTCTACTGCTGAAGCTTATTTGTGAACTCGTTTAAAAGAGCCGTATAACTTGTTTCGCTTCCCGTATCATGTAACAAGTGGTTCAACTCATTACTTTGCGACCGATTGGCGTGTTTCTTGTGGGACAAAGCGTATTCACGTAACCACAGTTCCGCTTTTTGCCGAATCGAGTTGGCTTTGTTTGTTAAGATTAGAGTGCTGAAGTAATTTCTACTATAATTCTGAGTACATCTGCAATTTTATTTTCTCTATAATCATAAATATTGCCTTACAAATTTGAAAAAACATGTATATAAATTGATAAATAAAAACATAAAATTTAAGTGATTCAAATTCGATGGCAAGTTGGATAAAGGCAGTATTGTATGCCAGTTTGTGTAAAGATATATTTTCCTCGGGACTTCACCCTGAGAACATTTGGGTCCCACACCAATACAATTTTGCGCTAACAATTTTCCCGCGATTATAAATTCGATGTCCACCGACGGCATGGCTTTATTGTGGAGCAGAAACGAATTTGAAACGGACCTCATCTAAAACGGAAAATGCCAAAAAAAAGTAGGTATTTTGCTATTTAGCATATTATTCTTTTGTTCATAAAAATGAATGTTTTATTTAATTTACGTTTAGGGCGAGAAATATGCGGCGACATGTTCAGAGGAAAGGTTAAAATAGAGAAGCGTCATACACTTACGTCTATTGGTAAGTACATGCTATATTGCCTTTGTTTTAATTTAATAGATACGCTGGATGTGCAAGAATATTTGTTTCGCTAGAACAATAATATAAATTTGCTGGTGTTGGTGTTGTAATATGTTTCGTATCGTTATTAGTAAACATATTTAAGTCGATTTCGCGAAATTTTTGTTATTGGCCTCAATGCCTTATTTGAGCATTCAAAAATATGGATGCTATTTTGTCAAAACGCTAAATTGAATGGACGTGGTATTATTAAAACTTCTAAAATACAAATACAATCAAACTTTTGTATGTTGAAATAAATCACATACTCTCAATTTTATGTCAGCTCCACCCGACGCACACAGCGATGTAGCTGGAAGAGTCTTTGAAGAGAATTCTGACGTTACATTAGTTGAAGATAATACCTCAACTTACATTGGTGCACGTCCTCCAAAAGGTCAGCAATATTAGAATAATATTTGTTTGATGGTTGTTCAACCACACAGCCAATATTACTGGACACGCAATGTGCCTATTGACCGCTTTGTTAAATTGTAGTTGTTGTTGTTGGATTCATCTTAATATTATTATGGTGATTCTCTTTACCTACTGGATCTATTGCTCTGTAATTTTCAGTAGTTAAAGATTGTCGTTGTCTCTGAAGGGCTTCAAAATTGAAAATTGCGCACCGACATATGGGAATTTCAGCGATCCGGTGATCAGCAAAGTCGATAGATTTTTGATAAGGAAGACTATCGGTATTGTAAAAGAAATGATACTACTTCGTTTTGGCTTTCGTGTCTATATCTCTTTTTTTGAAATGTTTTTGTAATCGTGTTTGACATGCATTGTCATTTCTTGGTCTTTATCAGATGTGGCCAAAGAGTTTGCTAAAAGAAGAGGGAGAAAACGTAAGTCATCGAAGAAAACCGATAAAAGATCTGCTAAAAAAGGGAAGAGAATATCTGAAGTGGAGGATGAAATCAATGTTACCATTAATTGTTCAGACCTGGGATTTACAAGTCGACTCAGATGCAAATTGTCAGATACCTTCGCTCAAATTTCGAAAAATGTTGAAAAGGAAGAGGGAAAAGTTGTGGCTTTTCAAGATAAAAATTATAGTTTGTATTCCGATGATCAAACGCTGATGGATGTCAATATTACCGATGATGTCATTCTGCGTGCCGTGGAAGTTGTGCGTCAAGTAGTCAGGGTGGCACAAAAATAATTCATCATTAGAGATATTGTTATTGCGAACTTTTGTCTTAATAAGTAGATTGTATGTAACCAAATATAATTAAATTGTACCCACCCATAAATCAGTGTATTGTTTGATGTTTTTGTAAATTACCTCATGAATTATTGCGACAGGTAGAAGATATTCGATATTCCATTGTTGTTTTTTCACAGGTGGTTTATCTTAATATGTTGCGCCATACTGAGCAAAATAGGGAACTATGTTTGTTCGAAAAGTAATAGGGGATATATTTCTAGCTCCTGAAACAAATTTACATGGTGGTGTCCCAGTTGTTATATTAAATAAATTGTATATTTCGATTGGATGATTTACCAGTGTGCTGCCGTATTAGGGCTTCGGCATAACTATGTTGGGGACGAATCTTATGTTGAATGTAAATAATATTTTAGTATGTTCCCTTGCCAACCATCTCCTCATTTGAGCGTTGTTTTTATATGTGAAATTCCTCAAAGATAATAATAAAATATCTCATCATAGATATCTCAATTATTTCATCTTTTCTTATTCTAGATTTGATTGCCCCCCAGTTGTTACGCGATTCAGTTGATTTGATGTATATAAACAGAGCCCAAGAATTATCAACCGACTCTCTTGTATGACTTCCCTCTTTAAGAATTTCAGTGGCAAATATTAAATTTGTCAGTTTATTCCGAGCATAATGAATGTCACGTTATATGACCAAAATTGATCACCATAACATAACAGAAATGTTATTTACACATTTAAGACATAAAATAAAGAATATAAAATAAACAAAGAAAAAGAATATCGATAATATCACTAACGGATTCCGATAATCTCTCAAGTCGCATTTAGCATATACATTCGGCCGGCCTGAGCAGTCGATACTTTGATTCACTGGGACAATATCTCTCCCATTAATGGATATCTTGGAATGCCCAGGTACCCTACTAATCTCCTTACTAGTGGCTTGCCCGCTGTCTTTCCTCCTGCGGATTCTGTTGTACAAATCATATGAGTTTTTTTCCTTCCTATTATTGACTTATGTATTTAAAGTCCAACACGTTTCACACTATCACCATGGTACAGTATTCAGTTGTTTATGACAAAATTTTACACAGTTCTTAACCCATTTATCACCTTTTTATGTGGCTAGAGACATTTGAGTCTATTGCTAAAAGAACAATACTTCACACGTTTATTGCGTTTGATGGTAGTGGTAGTACACATTCTCTTCAGCTGTTCTTGAAGTTTAACCTGTCGTCAAATGGTAGCGGAATATGTTGAATATATCGAGCCTTATGATCTCAGACTAAAGTTCGAGAGAGAGAAGCTGCACTGGTTTCAAAAGAATAAGTAAATACTAAAATATGAAAAAGCAGACAATTCAAACACCAATTTTTCAACCACCCCTCATTGTAACCTTTGTTCATTTTCTAATATGATTTATTTGTTTTTATGGTGCGATTTTACTATTACTAATAAGCACAACCGCAATTTGTTTACATTTTTATATCCGACGGTCAGAACAAATAGCTTTTCAGCATGAGTCGAATATTTCCAGACTATTGGTACTCAGTTCAATTCAAAGCTAAATTAAGGCGAGCCTAACGTCTAGGGTTCAGCAAGCAGTTTTAATAGACCCTGAATTGTATGAGTTGGCCCGAATTAAACACTCCGGTCTTTTCAATCTCAGAATGAATTCCAGAGTATCTATAAGTATTGTATTTTCATAGCCTATTTCTACCAAGTGGAGAATGAATAAGCCATTTTATGTGTCAACATATTATCTGAAGTTGACTTCTCAGGGATATCCACAAAAGTAGGCAAATTATTTTTGACAGAGAGATGCAACACTCATCGTATCAAATTGGACTGTTTCCAACTTTTGTCAGGGGCAATTCTACTGCTGAAGCTTATTTGTGAACTCGTTTAGAGGAGCCGTAAAACTTGTTTCGCTTCCCGTATCATGTAACAAGTGGTTCAACTCATTACTTTTGTGACCGATTGGAATGTTTGTTGTGTGTCAAAGCGTATTTACGTAACCAAAGTTCCGCTTTCGGCCGAATCGAGTTGGCAATATTTGCTAAAGATTAGAGTACTGAAGTAATTTCTACTATAATTTTTAGTACATCGGCTTTTGATTTCCTGTATAATCATAAATATTGCCTTACACATTTGAAAAAACATGTATATATGTATATATACAAATTGACAAATAAAAACAAAAAAACATAAATATAATACATTCAAATTCGATGGCAAGTTTGATAAATGTAGTTGGGGTACGCCTATTTGTATAAACTTTTATATTTTTTCTAGGGACTTCACCCTGGGAACATTTGGGTCTCATACCAATTCAATTTTGCGGTAATAATTTTTTTTCGGTTATATAAATTGCTGTCTACCCATAGCATGGCCTTATTTTTGAACAAAAACAAATTTGAAAACGGACCGAATCTAAAACGGAAAATGCCAAATACAAGTAGGTATTCTGCTATTAAGCATATAGTTTTAGATCATACGATTGATGAAATTTTGTCAAGAAGCTAAATTGAATAAACGTTACACGAATAAAAATACAAATACAATCTAACTTTTGTATGTAGAAATCAATCACATACTTTCAATTTTATGTCAGCTCCACCCGATGCACCCAGCGATGTAGCTGGAAGAGTCTTTGAAGAAAATTCTGCCTGTACATTAGTTGAAAAGAGTACCTCAACTTACATTGGTGCAGGTCCTCCAAAAGATCAGAAATATTATAATAATATTTGTTTGATGGCCGTTCAACCACACAGCCTATAATACTGAACACGCAGAGTGCCTATGGATCGTTTTGTCAAATTGTAGTTGTTGTTGGTATTCCTCTTATTATTATTACGGTGTTTCTCTTTAACACTGAATCTATTGCTCTGGGTTTTATGGGATTCCTTTTTTACTTTGAAGTTTTGTGTGATTACGTCATCAAAATTGAAAATTGCGCACCGTATGTCAATTTCAGCGATCCGGTGATCAGCAAGGTCGATAGATTTTTGGTAAGGAAGACTATCGGTATTGTAAAAGAAAAGATACTACTTCGTTTTGGCTTTCGTGTCTATATCTCTTTTTTTGAAATGTTTTTGTAATCGTATTTGACATGCATTATCATTTCTTGGTATTTATCAGATGTGGCCAAAGAGTTTGCTAAGAGAAGAGGGAGAAAACGTAAGTCATCGAAGAAAACCGATAAAATATCTGCTAAAAAAGGGAAGAGAATATCTGAAGTGGATGATGAACTCTATGTTACCGTTAACTGTTCAGACGTGGGATTTACAAGTCGACTCAGATGCAAACTGTCAGATACCTTCGCTCAAATTTCGAAAAATGTTTAAGAGAAAGAGGGAAAAATTGTGTCTTTTCTAAATGAAAATGATATTTTGTATTCCGATGATCAAACGCTGATGGATGTCAATATTACGGATGACATCACCCTGCGTGCTGAGGAAGTTGTGCGTCGAGTAGTCAGGGTAGCACAAAAATAATTTTTCGGCATAGATATAAAATATTGTTCTTGAGGACTTAATGGGTAGATTGAATGTAACTCAATATAATTCAAATGTACCCACCCGATGAATCGATGTATTGTTTTAGGGCTATGGAATTGTATTATGGTATTGTCTATGCCAGGGGTTCTCAAACTTTTGGTGTTGCGGAGCTCTTGAAAGGTTGAATATTATTCGCGGAGCCCCAAAATAAATTTTAAAATTGTTACTTTCAGATTATTATTCCCGAGCAAGTTAAAAGTACTTTATTTATTCTAAATGCTGAACCTTTTTTAATAGGGTTAACACAAGTCATAAATAAATCTAAATTTTATACTAAAGCTGTAAATTTGACACTTGACGAACATATTAATAAATTAGGGATCGAATCTTTTCTTTTTTACCATTTTGGAAGACTTAATTAAAAGGCCGTTAGTAACGTGCGCTATTTCATTTTGTTACAATCGCCGATTTTTTTTCCGTCAGCATGGCGTGTTTTAAACATCTTTACGCCGCTGTTTATTCTCCCTAAATCAAAAATTTCCCTCGACATATACATGTATTGTTACACAATGACGACGTTAATTGCTTTTTTGTTCTCGTGGGGAATTATGAGTTCAATGTGAAAAACATGTTACCATATTATAGTCATCGGCGACGAAATGCTAAAAATAATAATCAATAAAAAGGTAAATCCACAACTCAAATTTCTTGATTGAAAAGCGGCATTCTAAAATATTTATAAACTGAAACTTAAAATGGAAGATCACACTTTGGTTTCAGCAGACTCACCTCAGATTGAAAACGCTTCTATAGACATTGTAAATCACAAAATTTGGTGTTATGTTAGGTTTTCATCGTAGTAGCTGCGAAATCGAAACACAGTCAATTGTGCGCGCGATTTACTTTTTTTTTTCATTCTGAAGCTACCGACGCAGCCGCACGCAATCAATGGTGCGCGCGATCCGCGATGTACCTTTTTTCATTCTGAAAACCGACGGAGCTGAATGCAATAAAATAATTTTCAATTGTTCGTATTTTCCCCAGACATTGTGATTTTTTAAACAGCGATATCTTGCTTAAAAATAATCTCAAGTGCGAAAGAACAAATCAAGTTTGACAAATCGCAAAAATACGACACCAATTTATTTATAGTTGGCAGTTTATCACATATTTTATGTTATTTTAGAATAGTATTCTTTCATTTTAGTAATCCTAATAGTAATCTCGAATCAAACGTGAGTAACGATGAGCACAACTACATTATACCGACGAGACACGTCAAATGCTCCATCGGTCTTGATTGAATATTTTACGCAACAGAAATCTCGTTATCCGTTTTTTAATCGCGAAAAATGTTGCGCGGAAATTTCCGATTCCAATTTTGAACCACCTCCCTCTTAAGAATCCCGGCTGCGCTACTGCTCATAAATAATGTCATTTTTTAATTCCGGCTCTTTACCATATTTCGAGGCTATATTGTTGTCAGATGTTATCAAAGCTGTTATTGCTTCTTTGAACAGTTACAAAATTTTGAGTCAGTATTTTGAAGAGCAATCGAATAGCTCGCGGAGCCCCTGGGTTTCTCTCGCGGAGCCCTGGGGCTCCGTACGGAGCACTTTGAGAACCTATGGTCTATGCTACCATGAATAATTGCAAACAATAGTAGCCTGAAGATATTTGATATTCCATTGTTGTTGTCTCACAGGTTGTTTATCTGGGTGATAATGTTGCGCCATATTGAGTAAAATAAGGAACGATTTCTGTTAGAAAAGTAATAAGGGAAGTATTTCTAGTTCCTAGAACGAATTTACATGGTGGGATCCCACGACCCACTTGGTATATTTTTAAATAAATTGTTTATTTCAATTGGATGATTTATCAGTGCGCTACCGTATTAGTGCTTCGGCCCAACTATGTTGACGAAAAATCTTCTGATGAATGTGAATATGATTTTAGAATGCTTCCCTGCAAACCATCCTTTCATTTATGCGTTGTTTTTATGTGTGAAATTTCTGAATATTAATAATAAAATATCACACTTGGAAATAAAAGAAGTGTTATCTCATATGTTCTTATCCTGTATTTGATTTCCCACTTGATGTTAGACGATTCAGTTGATTCGAAGTGGTAAATCAGAGTCCAAGACTTTTCTTATTAATCTGTTTTTCTTGTATGGCTTATTCTCAATGTTCAGAATTTAACGGCAATTATTGAATTTGACAGTCTTTTGTGAACATATTGAATGTCACGTTATATATGTGACCAAAAATGATCACTATAACAAAACAGGTGTTACTAGATTGGATGTAATTAATTAGAAGTTATTTATACATATAGAACATAAACTAATTATAATGAATATTAAATAAACAAAGAATAAGAATATCGATATTTTCACTATCTGATTTAAAAAATCTCTGAAGTCGCAATCGGACTGAGCAGCCAACACTTTCCAATCTCTTCGCTCGCGTTCATACCCTGGGACAATATCTCCCAATAGCGGATATCTGGTATGCCTATAGGTACTGCTCTCCTTACTAGTGGCTGGCCCGATGTCTTTCCTCATACAGACTCTGTAGTTCAAATGATACGTTTCGCCTTGTGGAGCTTTTCTTAAAATTTAACTTGTTGTCAACTGGTAGCGGTATATGTCGTGTTACGTGGAGGCCTTTTGAATGGCGATTGGGACCTAATCCCTACAAACCTTCCTGGGAAGCTGCATTTTTAAGAGTTTTAATATGGCAGATACAACGTATTCAAATTCAAGGTTTAGAAGTTTTTTATATATGAGGTAAACTCAAATTGTTGAGAATACTCCAGTCTTTGAAATAATTAAACTCAACTACCTGTCGCCAGAAATACACCCCTTGCCAATTTGATAATATTCACACTTAGCGTCTTCATTGCTTTTATTTTATCTTTACCGTACCGGTGTGTCAAATCACAACTTTTTTACGCGATAACAGTTCATTTATGTTTAAATGCATTTTATATTTCACACAATTTTGAATTTATTTCTGAGTGTTCACTTTTAGACAAAAGAAAGGATTTGTCAAAGTAACTCTATTTTCCAAATACCTGAAATAATTCGAAAAACAAAAAACATTTTAAGCGGAAATTTCTCCTGACCTAATCAAAATATACTTTCGAGTCATCGTTCCGCAATATCTATGCTCGTTCATTAAAAAGGGTAAACATAGTCAAATATTTGATGTTTTACTCAAGCCTGATCTGTTTAAAACCACGTGGTATATTCCAACAGTGAGTCACGCAAGCGAACTGATTTCAGCTTAAACTATATTACTTCCTGGATTGACTACCCGGAGATGCATGTGCTTGGGAATAAAGAACAAAGGCAAAATATTCAGCCCCAGTATCCAGATTTGTAGAGTGGAGAAGTGTAGCAAGTAGTCATCGTAACTCAGTCCTAAAAACGGCGCGACATTATTAAAAGTATTAAGTATAGCTTGCTTTCCAATAAGACAGCTAGGAAATTTTTCTTACAAAAAAATTCAACTACTTGTTTATTATGGGTATTCAGTATGTAATTGATTGTAAATACAAATAATTTCCATTTTAATTCCGAAGAAATAAACACGCAATTTATTCAAAACTGTTATTAGAAAATTTCACCAGAACTACTATAATAAACTCGTTTAAATCACAACTTCCAAATAAATCAATTAACGAAAAAAGATTATTTCGATCCGATGGTAATCTATCTATCTTTATTCACAAGTTTTGTGGTGAAACTCGATCTTGAAATTTCTGTAATATTTAACGCTTTCTAGTCAAGTGTGTCTCAGAAACCGCGTAATTTCTTACCATCCTTTTCTATACGCCTTCACCTAGCAATTAGAAAAGCAAAAAACACGAATTTTTATATCGTGACTGTGCGTAAGATAAGATTCAGTTTTCTGTTACTTGCAGAAGAGTATACTCGTTTACAGAAAGTTGCTAAGCCGACTGCAAATGAGTTGATCTGTGATTTACAATTATACTTTAAGTATATATAATATATATATCACTGTTGTATTATGGCTCCAAATCTGCACCGAGTCAAGGCGGGACCTAATACTCTAGACTTTGGGTCCCATTTTCCTTCGTTCTATACTATCAAAAGTTGGATAGATCAGCAGCTACCTATTAATATGAAATTTTAATGAGTTAAAAGTAAAAATTAAATATATTACAATTTAGAAATTTCATATTTTATTTATATATATAAATCTAATATTCTAAATCTTGAACGAAGGTTTTTCCTGTTTGAACTTGATATCATCAACCGATCCTCGCATCCCCTTTCTGGGATTGTTAAAAAATAGCACTGTTTTCACATGTAATCAGCAAACCCATTGCTTTGTTTCCCATTTTTCTTTGTATTCGACACTAAAATAACGCAATTCAAAAAATCAAATTATAAACATTTGCAAAGAATTAGTTAGTAAACAGGTTATTAGTACTTACATGGAGTTTCTCAGTTGAAACATAAATCTAGCGATTTTTTAGTTGTTTTTAATGGATTTTAGTTGTTTTAATGGTTGTTTCTTTTTAACCTAACTTAGGGATTCAGCTTTCCCGCACCCCCTAACGGTATGTCCATTCCTGCTTAGGTAACCGGAACTAGATACTTGTGGAATTTGGCGAGTATAGATATTATCTATTTATATATAGACGAATAAATTTTCAAATGTCCAACGTGTTTTTACCGATAGTGTTAATATTATTTGAATCGTTGAGTTTACAGAAACATAAACATATATAAAGTTGTTGTGACAGAACAAAAATGAAGTGCGCTAAAATCTTTGATAGCATTCGACCAGCCGCTATCTTGCTGTTCCTTCAATTCTCAATCAACGGAATATCAGCTGATCAGGATATTTGCAAAGGAGCGTTCGATGTTTATTTTGTATTGGACAAGTAAGAATATATTTATATAATATATATTGGTGATATATTGAGTAGTAAGTAATTTTGTTGGTACTCCCGAAGTATGTGAACCCAGATGGCGGACACCGGAACGTAGTATGTGTACCAAGTTAGGGTTAAGCCATAATTTCAGGTACTAATACAGCTGGAGTCACTTGACTAGTTCCTTAACTCGTAACAGATTTAAAATAAGGAAAATTGGAATAAAATTATCTGTAGTTTACAAACTATTTGAAAGGTTTTTGATACGTCCAAGTGCGAATTTTGTTTTTAATCACTTAGTCAACCAAGCACTCCAATCCCTACAACACGTTACTATGTTAAAATTATAAAAAAAAAAATATGGATATTTTATTGTACACAAAATGCATGATTGACAAATGTTTTTTTCCTAAAATACGACAAAATTACAATATTATGATTTGACACCCATTCATGAGCGGTTTTGTGAATGTTCAAAATTTATCAAAATGAAACAATGAAAATGAAATACATTATCCTAAATGCTGTAATTTTACGTACATGCGTTTGTTACAGAATATACCAACGCACCAGAGTACACCGCTTGTGAAAGTTGTCTTAATCTTTTCTCGTGTAACCAAGTCATTCCGAATTGTTTCTGGGTTTCTGGATCTCTTTCTTGCTTGACTGTTTTTTTTTCATAACATATTTTCAATTTTTTTTTTATTTTAAATAGAAATAGCTAGCCTTAACCCGTGGCCCAATTGATTATCTGACAACTTTTGTACATATTTGGTGCACTCAATTTTATTCTAAACTTTCATATTTGTCTTCTTTTTATGGGGTTAAAAATAAAAATCCGTCCTGAGCCAAGATTTTTTATCTTCACTCCCAGATCTTCAAGCCTGATCAAAGGACCGATAAATCACTTCCGAAATGATGCAGTGCCATTTGTTGAAAAATTATCTCGTATGTTTGTCAGTCCTTTACTCAGGATGTCATACATTACATTTTCTGGAACTGCTAAGGTTGTGATGCCGTTAACAAGTAACAGGTAATGTGCAACAAATTCGATAAAGTTGTAACAAGTCAACAGCGATCAATATCTCTTCATATCAAACTCAATGTTTCAAACCAAACTAAAGCAAAATAAACTTTCAATTCTGTACGAGAAAAGTTCTTGAACAAGAATTATGTCAAATCAGTTTGTACCTCTTTAGCATCTTGAAAACCGTTTAAGACTTGGTCAATATGACTGGTGTTGTGAAAATTGAAAAGTTGACTATTCGAAACAACCAAGTATCGAATTTAAACGATAAATATTGACATGACAATCTGTTCATACCATAGTTTTATACTGATATGAGTCAAATACAGAATAATAGAGACAGACGGCATACGCGGAAGTGGTACCAGAACGTTATTATGTTTCGTTGTAAATAACTTGATATGGATGCTGCCGCTCGTAAAATAATGATTTTAAGAAGTCTTGCAGAGTACAAGTTGAATATTTGAACTATAAACATTATTGAATTTGGCTTTAAAAAAACTTTTGATAAATTGCGGATTTTTTAATATTAGCATGGAGTTTTGTGACATGAACCCACGACACGGTTTTCTGGTTCTTTTTTAAACGCGTTTTTCAGCCTTGAATTGATTTTCTAAATTCGAAGCTGAGACATATTTTGTTTGCATTTATAGCGTTGAAATTACCACAAAATGTTCATATTTACTAGATATGTACTACTCTTTGCTATTAACTTAAGTATTTATTGCCCTGAAAGCTTGTCCAGAGAATGATTGCACATTTGATATTTGTAATAGAAACCAGTTCTTCGACAATAAGGGTTTCCGCTGTGCCCAAAATATGTCCAGTTTTTCTATTTCATCACGCGATGGTGCTTTTTGGGAATCGGTTTTGTGAACTCACAATCGCATCAACACAGTTTATGACTGAGTTCACAGGCTTTTCGTCAATAGGTGGTCAATCAAGTTCTCTCTCAATAGACTAAATTCTATCTATATAATCTATATCTATCAATGTCAAGCACTCAACTAATGTAACGTTGGCTTTTTTTATTCTTCCTTCAACAACGTAGTTGAAGTTCATTTCCAGCACATTTGAGACTGTATATGTATCAATTAGAACCATTCATCATGTCACTACAATAAAAACTATTGTGTAAAAGTGCCCCCATTTATTTCTTTTCCATTGTTTTGGTATCATTATAAAAAATTTTATTAAACATTTAAATAAATATAAAATGAAGCTTTTTTAGACGTTTTTTTCCTATATTCCAGGTTACTTATTGAACAAAAATTGAACGAATTGAAACGAACAATCCCTGATGGTCCAACATTGATGAATCTTGGAATACAAAAAGTTAACTATCAGATTATGAGTGCAAAAGATAAGAGAGCAAGTATTATTATTGCACTAACTGATGGACGACTGGAACGAGAAACAAAAGTGAAAGCTGTTGCAGAAGTATGAATTATTTGCTTATTTTTGGTGTTAGCTATCTTTTATATCAAGACAGGTGTGGAAGTGCATTTCCAACTGTAGTGCAGAATCTGTTACAATACCTCAAACACTTTATTTGATGCACTAATAAAACAAAATTTAAATCTGAAAGCATATAATATGAAAGGATTGGTATCTTGATTGTCATATTTCAAATTTGTTACCCAATACTTTCGAAATATGATTCAAAACAGATACTCGTTAATTTGTAAGGTGTTGCTATTATCTAAATAAAAAGAATCACAACCTTTGCTGTTCAACTTAAAGTAAACGATAAAGTAAACGATAATAAAACTCTAGTTCAAATAGTGGTTACGAATATCAAAAAACAAGCATACGGAGCCAAAACCGCTGTGGTTGTTACAATAATCACTGGATTACATATATTGCATTATGTTTCATGAATTTTGTTTTAAAAAAGTCATCAACTGATGGAGATATGTTTACTGATCATGATCATTTGTTGAAATCGAATTTGCCTATCATAAATTAAATTACCATTTAAAAGGATGTATGAGAAGTAACATGAGTGTACATCTAGTAAATTCAGACAAACGATATGATTCAACGACTAAGTTTGAAAAAGAATAACTTTTCAACTATAGCTTTGTCTCAAATTTTCAAATCTATATTGCATTGGCGTGGATTGATAAGAACCATTATGTTGCGTCTCGCACAACCTACGGCAATACGACACTTGAGTAATGCCATTTTGCAGAGATTGCAACAATTTAAAATAGTTTAGTTGACAGTTTTCTGCAATCGATTTCGTCATTCGCCCAAATTTGGTAAGTCTCGTTACAGATTGGCGCGAATAATCATATTAAGGTACCATCAGTTGGCTGACTCCCAAATTTTGTAAAGATTGTGAATATACAATCATCACATGATCGTTCCATCGCCACATTTTTCAACTTTTATTAGAAGAGATATAACAAACTTTTTATAACAATTGCACCAATTTCAGAATTTTCAAGAATATTCTTTTATTTTGATTTTCACATATGGCTAACAGTAGTTAACTGATTTGGTGTCAACTTTTTACCAGCCTATTATAGAAATTCCAACGAGCCATTGTCGCGTTTGGTGTCTTTTACATTTCTGGTTGGGGACGAGTTTGCGCATAAAAACAGGTTCCACTCAAAACACTGGAACAAAGAATGAGCAATTTTCGGTGAATATCAGGTTTAATTTAATATCTTTAAAATAAATTTTGAATAATTATGATTTTATTTTTAGGCGAACCGAGCTCGGTCGTTGGGATCAACTGTATTTGTAGTTGGTGTGAGTAATTATGATGAACAACAACTATTAGATATTGCTGGTGGAATGAAAAACTCTGTCTTTGAGGTTAAGATATAATTTTAATTATTGATGTTGATTATTGCCTCTTTTTTTCTATGAATTTGTTATCATTTTTTCGCGCTCTCGCAATTCATTAGTTTTGAGGAGAATTACCCTCCTGGCGAGCAATTGACCTAATCACATTAAAACTGTGGTCTCAAGTATGAAAACCAACTTGATATACCATCCAGGTTTTTTTCACAAAAAAGGGGGATTGCAATCTAAAATTTGAACATTTGGCCTTGGCGTAGTTGAACCTTTTTTAAGTACAGAACGATAAAATACCTCAGTAATTAATCATTCTAAAATAAAATTGCTGTTGATTTCATACATTTGGGCGCCAGGTGCTCACGATCGTCTTAGACTTTGTTTTATAAATATATGTGCTTTTTGCATATAAAACATCGCCATTTATTTGTTACAGTTTTTTAATGGATGAATTTATTTCATTTGACTTAATTTAGGCAACAGATTTTGGAAACTTGGATCAAATTGCACATGAAATTCTTGATAGCTCTTGCGTTGAAATTTGTCGGCGAGTCCCAGCGTTGTTTGCATCAATGGTGAGAAAGCCATTTATTTATCATTCCCCTTATACAGTATTGCGATTTATTCTCGTAAGCGCAAGGCTGGGTGGCGTTCACATATTACAGTCTTCATTATTCTCAAATTCATTTTGCGATCCTAATTTAGGAAAATCAATCTATTTTTTGACGAAACTGTGTATTAACTTTTGGCAATTTTAAAATTTAATAAAACACATAGTTTTGGTTATGTATTCGCTCAACACTTGAGTACACCCGATATTGATCGCAACCTTGAGAATACAGTTGTCATTGAACTCTGCACCTTTGCCTCATTTAACTCGAGTCATTTGTCAAATTTTGGAAGTATTCGAAAGATAATCATTCCAAATGAGGTCATCAGCACGTCATTCATGCCTGGTTGTATAACTTCCTATTTTTAAGTCGTTCGAATCATTCAAAAAAAAGGGTCGAGAACTTGAATTCCAGCTTGTAGAGAATAGAAATTTATGTTAAATAAAATATTTGTAATTACATAGTTTTATGGTATAGTTTAATTCTACCAATACTGCCCCAGTCTTTGACCTTTTAATAACAAAAAGTGCAACCACATGCTGGGTGAATGAGAGTTTTGGTAATTTCCAAACTATATGTGCAAACAAAAATTGTCACAGCTTCCAAGTTAAAAAATGAATTCAAGGCCTAAAAACACGCTTAAAAAGAATCAGAATCTTTTACATGCGTGAAATGTTATGTTAGTATTGAAATTCCACAATTTATTAAAATCCATTTGAAGCCAGATGCAATAATATTTATTACAGCTATTTACTTTCAAAGGTGTGAGTATATATGTAAATTGGGGAAGTTCAGTGTTTTTATTTTCTTTCAAACGAGAATGTATCAATAAAATACAACTTACATATAAAAATTTAATTTGCAGAAAGTTTTAATGTTCATATTTATGGTAAAGGATTTGAAAGAAATGGCGATATTTCACGAACTAGGTGCAATTTTTGGTCAGATGGAAATGGAGTTTGTAAGTATTTTTCTTATTCTTAACAGGTCAAATCTTGTCTTGCATCTAGAATAGAAAAAATACTGGTATTTAGCATGGATTAATTCTGAAAAACATCACACCAGTAAAGATACAAGTATCAACATTCTTAAAACGTTGAACAGTAAATCTTCAAACAGTGTTTTTGATATTTTCCGTTGTCTATTTTATAAACCTGCATTTCAGTGATCAAGCCGACGAATGCCAGAGACGATTTTTTAATGTGCGAATCTCCAGAGAATTTCTTCTTTGAGACTGAGAAAACAATCACAGTACAAGTATCTTTGAACGAAGGAATTAGTTTTATTTCAAGCAATATCACAATATCAGCTTATAAATGTGTATGTGCAATTTATTCATTTTTCATTGCCTATAATAATTCGAAACGTCATCGAAACGTTTTGTTTTTTCTTGTACGCAGAATCGATGAAGAAAAATTAGATGAGGTAACCTCAGAATTTTACCGAATTTTCCTATAATAATTTTATTCCGTGTTTTGTAGCTTATAGCCCATTATTTTATCGCGCCCTGTCCCGAAAATTTGATAAACCTGACCGTGCCACCGCATTGATTAGGTCCTAAACAAAAAAATTCACAAAAATTCCAAGTGAATTGTTGCAAATTCATATCCGCGAAATGAGTAATTTAGTTTATTGTGACGTCGTTTAGGATTTCGTGTCAGTATATTTTACCATTACTCTCTTGTTTTTATCTAGGCATTTGGAACTACATACTTATGGCTTGCAATTCTCTTTCTCTTACTGTTGTTCTGGATTGGAATATGGTGGCTGTGGAATTTTATTACGTGTAAGGTTAGTTCAACCTTACCTTTTAAAATTTACTTTAATATTTTGCAATTTTAAATCGAAAAACTAACAACACCAATACAAATTCTCAAATTTTTACGCTTGTATTACAGAAGACAAAGGCATCGCCCCAACCAACACGACCACCGCCGCCGCCACCTCCTACTGCTGTTGTAACAGAGGTTCGTAACAGTTAAACTTTATGTAGTGGAACCTAAGACAAAAGTTTGTTGTTCTTGTTATCCGAACTACAAATATATAAAAATTGAATCTTTTGCAACTATTAAATTCGGTAGAATACCGATTCAAAAAGCTTACAGAAAAACCTAAATTGTCATTGTGAAAAGTGCTTTCTAAGCACAAAAATTAAATCACAATAGTCACTTTGTTACTAGTATTTTTCTTTTGTTGTAGTCAAGATTGTCGCTCTACAGTCGAACAATTGTGCGTATACTGTGAATTACCAGTTGTCATTTTACAAAACCCACTTAACAGCATTGAAAGAAAATATATCACAATAACATTCTATCCATAATCTGCTTTTCTAGTCTACCGAACCGAAGCAGTGGCCAGCAGTTGATGCGTCATATTATGGAGCTGCTGGTGCAGGAGGAATTAAACCATTGCCTGTATGTCAGAAATGAATTATTTTACTTTTTTATGAATGTCTGTTTATTTTGTTTCTGTTTTGGTGTTGTTGAAAAAGCGCTCTTTGCTCGAACCACTGTGCCCATCGCCTTCTCCGTTGTTGAAGATGAAAGCGTGTTTCGGTGGGTTGTTATTTCAATACCCAAATTTCCAAAGCTTACTTTTATTTTATATATATTTTATACGAATCATTAACGTCTTCTATGTATGCGATTTTTATTTACAATTTTCATTCATTTTTATGCACAGGTGAGATGGGGAGATAAGGGTTGCACCGAAGCTGCAGCACATTTGGAGCGAACTAAGGATGCCAAAGATATCATTAGGAATACGGAAGCAGATGAGGATGAAAATGCAAATCCTGTTTCAGATTCACAATCGAGTGATTCTCTCTGTGTACGTAGAGTCAATGGAATTTATCTTTAACTTTTAATAAAATTCATTGTATTATTATTTAACCTTCACCGAGTGAGTGCAATCCGATATTATGTGAAATCAGTTACAATTCTCAAACAAATATTCCATATATTTTAATTGTAAGTTATTAATTCTTTTCTAGGTCAAAGTATCTGGTGTGTTGGGGCCATTTATAAAGTGCTATCAATGGATTGCAAGCAAGCGCCCCACAAGCAATGAAGTGGTAAATTATTGCTATTTCAGTTTCGTATCTTTATACTTATAGTAATTGCAGAAAAAACTTGTCTTAAACATAATATATAAACTTGTAATTCATAAATTCAGTTTTTTTTTTGTTAGCTTTGGATTTTATGGATTTGGGATCAATTTGGATTCTATTTATAAGGTACTATACGAGACGACGTAATAGTTCCTGCAAGTGATTTAAATGGCTCAGGATGTCATATTTTTATATTGGCCTCATTTAATATTAAAAGTTTACAAAAAAATACTAGAATTGCAGCTTTGATGCCGAAGTTCGATAGATTATTATTTTTTCAGGAAAACTGCATGTGTGTCAGAAAATCATAACGTGGAATCTGTTCAACTGTGAAGTTTTTTGTTTTTGAAAGCACTGCTCAACCCTGAAGCGCAATTTTCTGCATGTAAAGAAACAATTTTATAGTGTATCACAATGTTTTTGTTCACCATATTTGTATTTTTATTGCTGATGAAATTACATCCACCAAGGGGCGAATAAAAAAAAGCATTCAACCTCATATGTTATGCTTGTTCGTAAGACTCATTCCTATCGAACCTAAACTTCCCTTGTGGAATTTGTTAAAAAGAATTCGACATCCAATGCAATATAAATAGATTGAAAAATTTTAATTGAGGATTGGAAGCAAAATTACAACAACTTAACTTTTATGAAATTCGAGCTGGTCTTGAAAACAGGCAAATTACACGAAATCTAAATATTACAATTGGAAGCTTCATTGATCATTTTTTTAAACAAATGAAAAATTGAAGTGTAATTTTTTCTTATTGTATTACATTTTGGAAAGTTCACTTAAATATCATTTATCATTATTGTAATCGTTTTTTCATTATTCTTTTCCATCAGTTTTTGTCAGGAACTTTATGTTAATAAATTATAATAATTATTCTCTTTTTATTTTATTTTAGTGCTATCGTTATTTACTGTGCGAAGGGTTTTCATTTACAACTCTATGTAGTTTAAAAGATAGGATTCAGAATATTGAAGTCACTGCCGCCAACAGAATTCAAATGTTGAAAAATTCAATCGTCTATAACAGGGGTCGGGAACCTTATTGGTCAAGAGAGCCCTAAAATATACATATTTTTTTCAATTGCATTTCCGTGCGAGCCATATAACATTTCTTCACTTAATCAGGCCTGAAACGTTTACTCAAAAGTCAACACATTCCATGTCAATATACATTTAATGTGACTTCTGATGCTGCATGTTGTCGCTGCGGGCCTTGAACGGTTGCTCACATGCAGCCCATGTTGAAATCTACGATACTCATCACCCTTTTTCGTTTAGGCATCTCCGTAGTATTTTAAAACTCTATCGATTTGTGATGTCACAATATATGTTCCAGAATCCCCATGTTTTGTCACAATGCCTGTCTGGTAATTCTCTTACATAACATAGACATGCGCTGGGCCCGCGTTGTCAAACGTATTGGGAATTTTTTGCCAAATTTGGCCATAAAATAGTTTGAAATCTAGTAACAATAGTAAGCTTAATCTTAGAATAATAGATTTTTCTGGGAGCCATATGCCGTCACCAAAAGAGCCATATATGGCTCGCGAGCCATGGGTTCCCGACCCCTGGTCTATAAGTATATATTATAAATGGTTAAAATGACAATGCCGTTGAATTTTATCTCATGAGAATGATATATGATATTTAATTACGTCAAAGTAACGGTTTTTGTTTGGATACGAAACAGGTGACTCGACCCATAAACGTTGTCCACGTGTGGCGCCAATAAGCTACCATCTCGTTTATAAAGAGAAAATGGATTTCCGTAGAGGTTTACTAAATATACTAGAAATAGAAATGAGCATAATAAAATAGGTTTAAAATCTACTGTATCAAAAAGAAGTATTGTCTAAATAAAAAGTAGGTGTTGTTATCACTCAAATCGATCATATTAAAACTTGAAGAAAGAGTAATGAGAAATAAACTAATTTGTTGATACATCAATGGAAAAATTATATGCATACGAATACACTTAAGGTTGGTGAACAATTAGAATACAATTAAAATTTAGGAAGCCGAGAAAAGAGAGAGATCAACGAATTAATTTAAATAACAAAAACACGAGGGAACCAAAGATACCCACACAATTATAGAAGCAAGCCAATTTGGTCCAGTAGTTGAACAAAAAAGCATCCACATCAACGAAAACAGTTTGGCAAAACTATCCAAAGATTGAAATAATGTCTTAACAAGATGAGCTTTGTTTGTGTCTTAGAAAACCAAATTGTTTAATCGAATAATACAGATATTTTGGATATATTGAGAAATGTGTCGATCCCCTTTATGTACCATTTATAAATATATATAAATTAGAATTATGCGTGAACTGAAACTTTTGGTCTAAAGTCAATTTAGAATTATGATTTTTAGTTACAGACACAAAACTCTACAAACAAAAGTTTATCATCGATTATTACACATTATGAGTGTTAGTTTTATAAAAAGTTTTATTGACCAAAAACCTCTATACTAGGTGTGATGCTGATATGCTCAATTAGCTTTGTAATTATCTAAATTTTCATACGGGCATAAATAATTGAAACCTAAAAATAAAATGCATCAAAATCAAATAGTGACGTTAAGATGGTATTAAAGCAAAATTTTCATAAGCCTTGGTCAGAGTGATATGTGTAATAAAAAAAAATCGATTTGCAAGAATCGCTGCTTTCATTTTCGTTGAAACACCCACTAACTTATCTATTCCAGCAAAGGCTTCTCTAGTTAATTAACAAATGCATTAGCAGGAAGAAAATGAAAAAAAAAGGTTTCATTTGGATTTGTATAAAAATTATTCCTAATTTCTAGTTTTAGTTTTAATGCTTCAATGTAAACAATGCGGTTCGTTGTTGAATAACAAGCTTTAGTTACAGTATTTTCAATTCGACATAATATGCGGTATTTCATAGAGGATCTGAAAAGCTGTGAATTATAACTATATTGACCTTCTGGTTAAAAAAGTGGAAATAAATACATCATTGGAAACATAGTTAGCATATTGTGATTACAGAATTTCATTTCTCGTTCATTTATATTTTACTGACATAAGAATTTATTTATAATAAGTAAAAGAAATTTCGTCTAATTCATCTGCTCTTTGCTTTTAATACTGTTTTGATAAAATATCACCTGGCCAAAATATGACATAGTATATATGATTTAGTATGTCATATCAATTTACTACTACGTGATAAGGCATACATGGTGTTTTTAACAAAATTTCTATTATAAGAAAGTCGATACTTTTAGGGACGAAAATAAATTGTAACTACATGCAGGAGAAAAGGACATAACTTATTCAAACCAGTAGAGTTGTTTCTATGTCATCATTGGATCATAGTATTCAAACAGAAACTTTTGACTGCCTTCTTCAACAACTATTTTTTAATATATTATATAGCATTTAGAGCATGGTGCTTTCGCAGATGAAAGGGAAATGAAGAACAGCACATTTTCGAGCTGACATACGACCCGTTTTGTATTATTTCAAAAAACAATGTCTATTAAATCGTATCACGGTGGATCATCAGGACATTTTAAGATTCCTATCCTTTAATTTCAAAAGATCGTGTTACATTGTTGTTTGAATTTTTCGTATAAACTAGATATATTTATGTATTCGATTCAGAATCCATTTTTTCATACCTTGTATTTAATGCGGTAATGGTATAGTTCATATTCGCGCTTCGTATATAATAGTTTGGAACATGTTTCGATATATGATGCATTTATCTCCGAAAATTGTTTTTTTGAAGCATTATCGCAGAAAATTGCTAACATCGCACCGATATATATTTAAGGACAATGAGGTTTTATGAACCTCATAACTTGTGTTAATCATTTAGTTACGTGTGCTGTAAATGTCGTCTGCACTATAGTTAAATGTGCAAAGATGTTAAATGTTATCTATTTCGATCTATTTTTCGTTGTACTTAAAAACTGTGCAAAAAATTTGACCTGTTATGAGCTTAGTTATGTTCAAAGCCTGTTACAGGCTCGTGTATTAGAATATGTATAGGCACTAGATCATTGAGAATTGTAACTTTTCAAAATAGCCTTTTCGTGGATACTATCGCCCAATTTCCCATCAATGCTCCATATGTGCTTTCAAGAAATATATATCTCATTTTTGCTTTGTATAAATAAGTAGTAGTATAAAAATTTCTGTCTCTTGGAGGCTGAAAATTTTTCTCTTGCACGATTCTGCATTTTTTAGGTTTCATCCATTTTTTAAACACGGTAATTTAGGATTTGAGAGATGAAAATTGATCTCGTTTGATCCAAAACTACGTGATGTTTTTCACCACAATACAATCTTCTGTGGAATTATCTTCTAATGTTACAGTGTATATAATCGAGTGTGTTTACTATTTCGATTAGAACCTCATCACCCATGATCCCATCCAAAATTGATTTGCATATTAAAGATTACCATACAACTTTTATTTTGTTCCTTGTTATGTTACTGTATTGAGCCCGTTCTCATTTGGAAAATCTCAGGTTATTAACAATGATCACGTTTGTGCATTAAAAAAAAAGTTTCAAATATGCGGTGTCAAATTTCGTGATACACCGTTGTGATGCTGCAATAATCCGGTGATAATATGTAGCCTCATATTTTCGTAGTAAGACAGATATATTTGTGTGAAATTGCTTGACATATATTGCGGTCATCGACTACCATTCTTTAGTTTGTCTTTGAATAAATGGCGTAAAATGAATAGAGCCTCGAGTACTAGATTCAAACTTAGTTCAAGGCGGTTTGATGGGTTGGCACAAAATTTGACGAAATTTGTTTTGAAAATTGACTAGTATTATGTCACAGAAATATGAAGATTTAAAAGTTTAAAAAGAAAAAACCATAATATCCCAAATATAAAAACAAGGATTATCCCATGTATTTCTGGAATGGCTCATGCACCTGGACAATTAATCTCTGCCTACATGTAAACATACAAATATTTTTAGATGGCAGTTTGTTGCTAAAAAGTTATTGTTAATACGTGAACATTACAGTTCTTACTAGAATTTCTAAAATGCCAATCAAGATCGGAAACGATAGACCGGATCATCCGATTTGTCGCATTGATCAGGACCACCCATATCCATTAGCATAAACTTTGATATAATTTTAGTCTTTTTACCTTTTGCCTTCCCAAGGCTGGATAAGTTTGAAGACTTGTGTTTTTTTTTCACCAAATTTTTCTAAAATTTGTTCGTATAATGAGAGTGAAGTTTGAGTGTATATGTAATAGAATAGACATTTTTAGAATATTATGAAATTATTTCCACGATGACAAATAATTTTACAATTTAACGGAAACGTTAAGAAAGTTACATACTATTGTCATACAGCAACTTAAGATCATAGTGACATCGTCTATGTCACCAATGTTTCGATTTATATCTTGTGTTCTATATTTTCACTAGCTGGAGCACTGCTAGGGCTTGTTTGCAAAGTTGTGAGTTCGAAGACGCATGAATTCTATTTGCTGCAATAGTATTACTATATACCAATTTGTGTTACTTTATTTTGAACAGAGTAAATTTTCATATATTACAATTATTACACGGTGCTATATAATAACACAGTTCTTTGCAAAGTATAACAAATCATGACTGAATAAATCATACGATTTACCACTTCTTAATTTAGCTGTCAGTTAGTCAAAAGCATACCTGTTTGTAATAAGCTCGGAAAAAGTCGTAAGGTAGAAATTAAGTCGCCGAGTGTAAACACATGCTTATGGTTCACGTCGAATGTACTTCTTGTCTCTTGATAATCGAGATAATATTAATCACAGCAAAGATAAAAGGATATGTGCTGTCAAGTTGATAGTTAATCTGCCGATATATCTCTAGGGGATAACACAA